AAAAGTTTGCTGACCCAATCCCTGGGCACCTTTGGGAGGAAAGGCAGGGTAGACATTTAATTCAGAACAAACAAATAAATCCAGAAGGACTCTCTTTCTGTTCTTATGACCTTTGACAGTTTGATGCCCAGCACACACTCAACAGCTCCAGCTTTCCTTAGCATGCAGTTGCTGGACGGGGGTCTTGTTGTCTGGGCAGCCTTGGACCTCCATATGCACTGCCTAGCCTTGTGCCCCAGAGAGGTCACTTTGGTGCTTGTTGTTTAGTCGTTTAGTGGTGTCCGACTCTTTGTGACCCCATGGACCAGAGCACGCCAGGCACTTCTGTCCTCCACTGCCTCCCGCAGTTTAGTCAAACTCATGCTGGTAGCTTCGAGAACACTGTCCAACCATCTCGTCCTCTGTCGTCCCCTTCTCTTTCCCAACATCTTTTCCAGGGAGTCTTCTCTACTAACAGCAAAAACCACTAGGGAGGCAGCAGTTACAGCTTACCGGTCTCTGCAGCCACAGAAGGCACTGTGATTCTCCAACAGTTTGACTTCACTCCTGGAGATGCATTTCATTGTCTTTCAAGACTGTTGGATGCCAACAATTGTTGTTGTTCAATAACTGATAATAACTGAATAAGATTTTGTGAGACTGGGAAGCTGACCAGTCTCCTGTTGTATGTACAGGCCCAGAGCAACTGTGTGTTGGTACTTACATGTTCTTTTTGACAGGGATGTTGAAAGCAAACTCTGTATAGCTTCTCCTTCTCAGGACGGTGGATGGGACCAGATGATTTCTCCCTCTGCCATATATAAGGGAACTTTGTAGGAGAATATCTAGTTGATAGAATCTAGCTGCATTTTAAAGCCTAGGTAAATTATTGAGATCCTAGGCATACACCAAGACAGCTCTTTAAATTGGGTGACATTATTGTCAAATTACTCAGTTTAGTTAGTGAGTCTCAACAGCTCAGTGAGCCACTTAAGCAAACATGAGTCCAGCAAACATGACACAAATTTGGATTCCTCTGTGCTGGAACAATGTAAAAACTATCTATTAGAAATGCAACAAAGATTACCTCCATCTCACCGGAAAGACACTTGGTCAGTTCACAAGCATTAAGCAAGGTGAGAAGTTCACTCCAGCCAGTTCCAAACATCAGTGGCGTTGGGACCATTGACTAAAAAGTGGCAACCAAATGCCCACTATAGCCTTCAAAACTCAGCTTGGTTCAGTGACAGTTTGTGGACAAGTATAAGAAGGCAACATTCTTAGATCACTGCTGGGAATAGGATGAGTGTGATCCCCCTAGATTAGAGGCAGGATCCCATTCCGGGTCTTGGTCTTATTGTTTATCCCTGCCCATTCCTGGGCAGTTACATCATCATATTTACCCTGGAGCCATTTAAGACACGAACACATCTAAAACGGCGTGTTTTGCTGAGCCAACTTGGTCCTTAGAAGTTGCAAGCTTGAAAACTTAGGCAAATGTGTTCAAAGCAATGTGCCATCATCTGCCATGTTGTCATATTACACTTAATTATGTGTATGGTCCTCAGGACTGCTGCTGCTGCTGCTGCTGGGGCTCAAATCCTGTTTGCCATTCAAGCCCTACATGAGTTCCCAGTAAAGTCTGTTTGCTTCTCCTGTTATTAGAGCAATCTGCTTCCATGTCTGAGAGAAAGGTGATTTTTCAGGAGTGGAATTTGCCACGGGACAGATTGTTTGTAGGGGCAAAGAATCAGGGTTTGTTTGGGGGCGTTGCCTGAAAATTGTTGGTGTGACAACAGAGATGGCTCTGTTGGGCTAACATTACACACATGGCCATAATATAATGGGGCAGCTTGGCCCTTAGTCACCAGGTCATCCAGAATTTCCTTGATAGTGAAGAGGGTTAGAATGTTAGTTTGTGTTTTCTCAGTCACTGACCCAAGGTCCAGTAAAGGTGTTTCAACTGCTTCACATACTGGCCCCCAAAACAAAAAAGGTTGGGACACTTAGTTATTTTAAAATACTGATCCGATTCACCATTCCTAGCCACAATCTGACCATCATTCACCAGTGACCATGAGTCTGACTCAGCATAGTTTTTCTCATGGTATATGCGCACTTGGGAACCCCAGATCCCCCAGTCCCTATTTTCCAGGGACGTCCCTGATTTAGAGAAGCCGTCCCAGTGTCCTGCTTTTCCTTAGGATGTCCCTATTTTCACTGGAGAAATGTTGAAGGTATGGAGCTATCCAACCCCTGAGCTGTCTGAAGGCAATCTTGTATAGGGAAGCGTTGTTGTTTTTTTAATGTTGAATGTTTTATGATGTTTTTATATACGTTGCAAGCTCCCCAGAGTGCTGGGGCAACCAAATAAAATGTGTGGGGTATAAATAGTAAATGTTTCATTATGGAATGGGACATCCCTATCTTCACTGGAGAAATGTTGGAGGGTATGGAACCTAAAAATTGGTTGGATGTGAGATGAGGCACATCACTTAAACTATACCTTTATTTTTAACCAAAAGCAGGCATGGGGGACCACACTCCTGATCTGGATGAGTGCCTTTGCTATATACTGCAAACAGCACATTCAGCAACCAATCACCACCAGGAAGAGCAATTTTTGGTGAGAAAGTGGTGCTGGGACCAATTTGGATCAGGAGGTCAGCATCAGATTGGGCCCCACCCTCTATGACAGGAACAAGACTGGTAAAAAAAGAGAAAAGAATAATGTAACAAGTAGGTTAGCTTGCCACAGAAACTGGTATGCATTAACCAAAGCAGCAACAGGACAAGTCAGGACTTGATCTACTAATTTAGATCACGTATCAGTTTCGCTTTGTGTCACTCTGCTGTTTCTATGTGTTTCCTACAGGGGGCGTTGTTTCCTTTTTTTCTTAGAGCTGAAATGAAATTTTGTATAAATTTCTCAACATTTAGAGAAACGATAGAGAAAACTGAATGTCTTTCTCAAACTTATTTTATTGAACCTACAAAGATTCTTTCTCGTCTGAAATACAGACTCAGATATTGACAGATTATTATCTGGGAACATCTGGAGCAAAGGGGAGGACCAACCATGACTTTAAAAAAATGTTTTTCATTGAACTGTGGGCGATATTCAACTAAGTCATATTCAGAGTACACCCACTGGTGAATGGACTTAAGCCCACTGCTCTGATTGTAGCCAGCACTGGATATTATTGCCCTGTATAATTCTATCAAAGGGACGCGGGTGGCGCTGTGGGTTAAATCACAGAGCCTAGGACTTGCCGATCAGAAGGTCGGCGGTTCAAATCCCCGTGATGGGGTGAGCTCCCGTTGCTCGGTCCCTGCTCCTGCCAACCTAGCAGTTTGAAAGCACGTCAAAGTGCAAGTAGATAAATAGGTACCACTCCGGCTGGAAGGTAAAGGGTGTTTCCATGCGCTGCTCTGGTTCACCAGAAGCGGCTTAGTCATGCTGACCACATGACCCGGAAGCTGTACGCCGGCTCCCTCAGCTAGTAAAGCAAGATGAGCGCCGCAACCCCAGAGTCAGCCACGACTGGACCTAATGGTCAGAGGTCCCTTTACCTTTACCTTATAATTCTATCATTGAGGTGAGATCAAACAGACTCACACATGCAGACTCACCAAGTATCTCAAAGCACATATCTCAAAGACTGTACTTGAGGCTTACATGTAAAAAATGAAAATACAAATGCAGACATTGAGATTTCTAGATTTAGGGGTGGTTTTGAAAGAAGAAAAAGAAACAAAACATACAAAACATTACTCAAGACAATACCTCCCAGGAAAAGATGTACATTGACAAAAGTGTGATTTGTTGTTGTACAAAGCAAGGCAAATCATCAAAGCGTTCTTGACGGAGCAGGTTACAATATTGTGGGGAAACGCCTGGCATTAAGATATCCATTCCTTCCCCATCACCTTCCTTTTCCTTCCCTTCTCATCCCACCTAATCAAATTAAATCAAGCCCAAGCCTTCTGTATGTCTGGGTTGGTGTTTGCTCTGCCTCTGCCTCATCGACATACAGAATAAACCTATACCATAAACATGTTTTGTGTTCCCAGTTCCTTTACCTGCAACATACAAAACAAGTATGTTTTCCAGCCAGCGAAACAGCCAGACCCTCTGAAAACTACCAACCAGCTGATTCTGCGTCTGCCTCTTTCTATTGTTGAGCTATTTTTAACCTGGAAGCCAGCAGCAAATGAATTATTAACTTGCTATAAAAAAACCCAGGCCCGAATTAGGACAGATTTCGGGATCTGTGTAAATGAATTCAAAGTTGAGCATTTGAATGACACTTGTTTGGGGAGCAAGAATATTTGGCAGGATGTTGTCCATTTCCTCCTACGTGTGACACTGAAACAAAACAATGGTTTGGTCATTAAACCAACACACTTAGTCACTGGTTGATTAAAAAAAAAATCCTGACAACTCCTAGGACAGCTCAGTCAATAGAGCAGGAGGCTCTGAATCTCAGAATCGTGGGTTTGAGCCCCGCGGTGGGCAAAAAGATTCCTGCTTTGCAGGACTAGATGACCCTTGTAGCTCCTTCCAACTCTACAATTCTATGATTCCAACTCTCTTTCCAAAACCTAACCTTTAAGCCTGCTCCAGCTCTAGCCACATGAAAAAGCAAACACTAAGGACCCCCTTTAAATGATTTACACTTAGAACCATAGAACCTCTAGACCTGGAAGGGAACCCCAGAGGCATCTAGTCCAACCCCCTGTAATGCAGGGATCTCAGCTTGGTTTGCCCCACGGTGCCTTGAACGCTCTTCTTTTGCCGTAAGCCCCCTCTCCCCCAATTGTACCCTGAGCCCGAAAGGTGAGAAACCCTTCCAGGCCCCGGGATGTATCTTTAACCTGAGGAGGAAGGAGGGAAAGAAACTCTGACTCAGCCACCTTGGTCTCTATCACTGGCCACCAGGTTGGAGCCCGGCCTCTCCTGGTTGGCTGCGCGGAGTCCCGCCTCCGCTGGTCATTGGCGTCTCCTATCATCTATAAAGGCAGCCTCCCCCGCTCCGCCGGGCTTAGTTAGAGTCCTGCAGCCGGGGAGGGAGCGAGCGAGTGCGCGCCAGCAGCCGGGAGTCGCGCAGGGATTTTCTCCGTTCCCTTTTGCGCTGCAGAGACGTTGGCCGGTGCGCCCCGCTTCGCCCCTCGACGCCGTCATGAGGGAGAGGAGAGCGCCTCAGCCGGTGGTGGCCCGCTGCAAGCTGGTTCTCGTCGGGGATGTGCACTGCGGGAAGACTGCCATGTTGCAAGTGTTGGCCAAGGACTGCTACCCGGAGGTAAGTGGACCAGCCGGGATCGGGGCCTCCGCTTGCAGGAGGCGTCGGGGGTCGGGCCTGGGGCTGGCCTGGATCGTCGGGGTGCAGACGTTGCATCGCCCCTTCTTTATTTGGCCCGCGCCTTGCTTTTCACTTTGGGGAAGCTCCGACGCAGCGGCCCCCGATCCGGCGGAGACCGACTTAGCTTCGACGGCGTGACGGCGTCCCGCGCCTCCAGGGACTACGATGCGACGTTGCCTCCACGGCTTTCCAGGCCCTCTTCTGCCTTGGGCACCGATTCTCTTTTCTGTGGAGCTGAGCGCTGGAGAGGGCTTGCTGTTTCGGAAGGGGCGCGCGCGTTGCTGTTGTATCTCATCTGCTCGCACAGCAGGCAATATGGCCTCGCCCCCCCCCCTTCTGTGAAATGGGCTTGATGCACATAGCTGCGCACTAACCGGCTTCTGCCCATCGGCGTCTGATGATGCGTGGATGGGGTGTCCGGACACCCACAACGTCGGGTGCTGACCCCACCGCTGTTGGTACTTGAAGGTACTGACCTCTCTGCCCTCCAGATCCTTGGATATCGGTAACGTTCTCCTGGCAGAGCTTGACACTGTAGCTGACAGTTCTTCCACCCCCACCCAAAAAGTTATAGCTAATGCCTTTGTGTATCTTGTCTCCATTGCTAGACATACGTGCCCACGGTTTTTGAGAACTATACGGCGTGCCTGGAGACGGAGGAGCAACGGGTGGAGCTCAGTCTGTGGGACACATCTGGTGAGGCTCCCTTTCCCCTTCTGGACTATGCCCCACTGCTAAGGACCAAGCTACACCCTTCGGCTATGCTGCAGTCAAGCAGCCTTTCTAGAGGGGGTAACTTGTGGCAATAATAAGAATAATTCAACTTGTATACCGCCCTTTTAATAAGATCCCAGAAAGGTGAACAATACAAGTGAATCAGTTCTGAGAACAGATATAGATGAGGAAGTGAGGATTTCTCAAGGGCTCAGTGTGGGGTGAGGCGTGGGGAGCATCCTGTCTAGTCGATGTTTCTGTCTCTTGGTCTACTTTAGCTTTGGGTATGGGAGAATACAGTGATAACAGTGGGTGTGGATTAAATTCTGTTCTACCCACCTAGATCTAAGGGAAGGATCTTGCTAGCCTGAGTAAATGGCTTTGAATCATGTGTGTGTTAGTTAGAAGGGGTGGGGGGGGTTCTTCATAATTCAGAGCTTTGGGGGTGGGGAGAACGTGTTATGCACTGCAGTCCTGAGCTGAAAAAAGGGGACTTCTAGCATTGGTATGCAGAGCTGATGGCTCCTGCAAAGGAGGGAGGAGTAGGTGAGGCAAAGACTTTAGACCATCTTAGAGTTGGAATCCTGGACAAAAAAGAACCAAGACCCCATGTTTAGGGGCTGCTGCCCTAAAAAGCAACTTGTTTGTGTGTGTGCACAGCTGGACAGCTGTGTGCAATATCTTAAATCTGCCCTTCGAGCTGTTAGAAAGAGAGACTCCAGTCCCTCAGGGCTGAAGTAAAAATGCAGTAATCCTCTTTCCTGCCACCCCCATTCGGCTCCCCCAAGACTCCCGTTTGTTCCCACATCTTCTGCAAGATGTGAAAGCTACTGAAAGGTCTGTGATCTTCCAGCTTTGCCTATTATTTCATCCCCCCCTCCTGTGGAATGCAGAGGGGAGGAGATTTGTCCATTGTGTGCATGTTAAGGAGGAGGGATTCCAGGGCAGAGGGGGCTTGGTGTGGACTTTGGTCGTGAAATTGGGAGGAAATGGACACTAACAATAAGGGGCTCTCAAAGGGTATTGTATGCGCGCGTGGAGAGGGGTGTAGTGGAGTTGCCCTAGCAACCAGGGATGGGGAATGGCTGCAGCATCCCCTCTTTTGAAGGGGGCTGGAGGTGGTGGGGGTCCCTGGCTACTCGGATCCCCCTTGTTGCCATGGTGATTGTGCTGGTGCAGGGAGCCAGGGGCTGCTTGCTATTCTGGGCACGCAGCGTCTGGGCTGCAGAAGCATTTTGGATGCTGCTGCTGCTGCTGCTTCGAAGAGGGGGGTGCTGTGCGATCCTATTCCTCTTCTTCCACCCCTTTGCGTCTACGCAGCAGTTCCCCACCCCCACCTCCAGTTCTTGCATCCGTAACATCCCTTACACATATGCAACCTTTTTTTATCTATTCTCGCTGATGAGTGGGTTGCTAAGCAACCCGTTCCTCCCTGTATGTTGCATCTCCCCCCCAAAAAAAAATCCCTGGGAAAAACGGGAGCCCTGCACACACACCCCCTCCTGCCCTCAATACTGCTTGTGCAGAAGGGTAGTGGAGAGATGGCCTTGGTTATATAAACCCTGGTGAAGCTATTCCTTGAGAAGGCTGAATATTAAAATGGGTGTGAGTGAGCATGCAGAGCCCTGCAATGTGGAGGGGAGGGTGGGTGGGTTCTTTTTACTTGCACCTAAAAGGCTTATTCGAATCGGATGCTGGCTTTGATTTGGTGGTGGTGGGAGAGAGTGTCCTGAGCTGGTTCATGACCTTCCTCTCTGCACAGGATCCCCATACTATGACAATGTGCGCCCCCTGTGCTACAGCGACTCAGATGCGGTCCTGCTCTGCTTTGATGTCAGCCGCCCTGAGACCATGGACAGTGCACTGAAGAAGGTGAGAGAGATGCGTGCTCCTCCCCATTCCCCGCCTCCCCTTACTATAAGGCCTGAGGGTCGGATTGGGGGTACCTGCTGGCACGGAGTTTAATGCTCCACAAGCCAGACTTACATGCCTCCTGGGAAGAGAGGCATCCTTAAGGGGGTCATTGGTCCCTGACCTACATGGGAAGCATCCATGCTTCCTCTCAGATCTTGTGAAATCCATGAGCATCCAGGCATAGTTATACGGGGGGGGGGGGGGGCTCTAATGCAGTTCCCCCAGTGTAGATTCATAGAACTGTAGATTTGGAAGGGATGATGAGGGCAGGGCCTTGCAGAGTCAGGCAGAGGTCCAGGCCAGGTAGATAATGTGCCCCCCTTTTTTTACCCTGGGGATAACTGAAGTCTTATAAATAAGTAAGTATATAAATAATTTTCACAAAAGTTATGCTGACAAATAATTGTATTTCAAGGCTTGAACCGTATCTGCATATAAAGACAAAATGGAAAATATAAATATACAATAGTGACTATGCTGACCAAAGCCCCCTTTGGAATCGGAGGCCCGGGCCAAGTGGCCCATATGCCCCCCCTCTGTCTGGGCCTGCATGGGGGTCATCTAGCCCAACCCCCTGCAATGCAGGAATCTTTTTGCCCAGTTTGGTCTCGAACCCATGACCCCGAGATTAAGAGCCTTATGCTCTACCAGCTGAGCTATCCCAGCTGTACTTGTATCCAGATCTCGGAGACCCTTTAGTCAAAGTATGGTGCACGGGGGGAATTGGCTCCATGTTAATATTTCTTCCATTTTAACTTTACATGCATATATATACAATACTGAGAGCTATTTAGGCCTGGGCATACACAAGCACAGTATAAACGAGGTGCCCAACTTTATTATGGAGTCTGCGCATTCCGCAAAACTCATCCCTGTGTTTCCTCCCACCTCTCCCCAACCACTGTTTGAAGAAGAATGGCCTTCAAGACTACAGATGGTCTTGGAGATCCAGGTTGTCTGGGAGAATTATGGGGCAATATTTTGAAAGGCCATAAAACACAGCATGAGAGGCTGCCTTGCCCAGTGTTGTCTATTTTGACTTGGCATCTGCTCTCAAGCCCTACCTAGGGCTGCCGTGGATTGAACCTGGAACCTTCTGCATGCAAAGCAGGACTGCTGAGCCCAGGACCCTGCCTAATATCCTGTGTCCCCAGAGTTGAAAGTGACTTGCCACATCATCTATTCTCTCCTTTCAGCCACCTAAACAAATGCATTTCTGCCTCTCCTTAAAGGCCTCCAGCACCCACAATTTCTACATGCCATACGGACAATTGCAAATGGATAGCGCTGCTGTTCCCCCTACTTAACTTTTCCTCCCTGGTCTTCAATAAATACTCCAGCAAGGTATCCCTAAAGTCCTGGTCTCTATCAGCCTAACATATAAAAAAACAGTTCTTAGTTTCCAACTTGAATTTCTTGCCACTTTGAGCCGTTATATTTAGAAACGTCTCTGTTCACAATCCTTTCATGTTTGTACATACTTGCTGCTTTAAATCTATGTGCAGAGTATTCTAAGCTGGCACTCCTTGTATAGTAAGGCAGTCAATGAGTCCTGTAGTTGAGTCCCATTACTTGTGAGCCATATGACACAAATTCATTGGTAGCATCTAATGGATTCTTTGGTGGGTTAAAACACATTAAAAGCACAAATCCAGAGAAGTCAATTGCCAAAGGAGTATAGGATGGCTATTAAGGGGGAAATGTGCGCTGATCCACTTGTTCAGGAAGCTGCAGAGTATACGCTGCCTGACAGCTAATCCCAAAGTTCGTGTTACTTTCTTCTGCTAGAAATTGCATTTTTTTCATAGCCTATCCTGCTCAAGGAAAGAGAGGAGGTCTTTAAAGTCTTTTGAAAGAGGTTTGGCCTAAGATATGACTATATTAATAACACCAAACCAACTGATCTATAAAGGATATTATCCTTCAGTTTCTTTTCTGGTAATTAAAATCTGCCTTTAGCTATTTAGGACTGTGATCCTGGATTTTTAGGTTCTGGGGCTGCTTCTCTATTCTTATTTCCACAAATGCTCTGTAATTCTTGTCATGCATAACTGTTGGATGGTGAGGGGGCTATAGAGATTGCTTCCAGGTGTGCCCAGTCTATGGGAGTGAGAGAGAGAGAGAACACATTTGAATTTTCACACAGAACTCTTGACACTGTTTTTTAAAATCCCATGCCCACTGCAGAAATTAAGCAATGGCAACACCATGTTAGACTTCTCCCAGTTAGCAAAACAGCTTGTTAAGTGAGCCCCAGAGGACGGGACAGCTTGCGTCATGGTGATGTGGCAATATCTCTACCTGGGACACGTTTTGAGTCTTGGAATGCTAGAGGGTTCAATTCCTCTTTGGTATTGAGCCAGCGTGGTGTAGTGGTTAAGAGCGGTGGCCTTGTAATCTGGTGAACTGGGTTTGCTTCCCCGCTCCTCCACATGCAGCTGCTAGGTGACCTTGGGCTAGTCACACTTCTCTGGAGTCTCTCAGCCTTACTCACCTCACAGAGTGTTTGTTGTGGAGGGAGGAAGGGAAAAGGAGAATGTTAGCCGCTTTGAGACTCCTTTGGGTAGTGATAAAGTGGGATATCAAATCCAAACTCCTCCTCTTCTATGTTTATCTAGTGGAAGACAGAAATCCTGGACTACTGTCCTAGCACCCGTGTGTTGCTGATTGGCTGCAAGATAGACCTGCGCACCGACCTCAGCACCTTGATGGAACTGTCCCACCAAAAGCAAGCCCCTGTCTCTTATGAACAGGTAAGGTCTGCACCTACACACCCACCCCAGTATGAATCCCTTCCTTGAGCAGTAGATGTCTTCTTCTTTTTTAGTCTTCTGTGCTTAGGGTTTTACTTACACCTGTAGATATGATGGCACACATGATTAAATTCAAGCTCAAATTCCTTCCTCAAGTCGTTGGGTTTTTTTTGTTTTAAGTTATCCCTCAAGGAATTTGAGCTTGAATGTGCTTCCTTGCAAACTGAAATTAGCTTTGTATACAACTTAAAAAGGCATTCTGAACATACCCTCACAAAAGGATTCCAACTAAGAATGATATTTTCAATCTATAGATAAGTATAGATATATATCTATGCAGTCTTAGAAGTCCTAGGTTGGGTAGAATAACACTCCAATTGCATATACCAACTACAAACATTTCTTTAAAATCCACTGGGTATATAAACTGCAAGCTTCTCTGCAAAGGCTTACTCCAACTATAATAAAGTGGCCTTGCTGAAATACAAATACGCTGAGGAATTTGAAATTTAATAGAACTTTGATATCTTGAATGTTGGGAGTATGGTCCTTTTGTTGGAACTGTCTTGGGAGGAACAAGCCACCGTAGGAACATCCCTCCTTGAGATGGATATTGGCAGCTTCATGGCACCTGGGCTGTGGTTTGACTATAGGACTGTTTCAAATCCAATGCTCAAGTGCGATGCATTTCAGAATGCTACATTCTGGCATCTGCATCTTGGCTTTACTGTTCGTGGTTTGTTTTGGGGAAAGCAAACCACAATCCTAGTTTCAAATGACAATCCGGACTCTGGCTTGTTTCCCAGTGGGGCAGGAGTGTGGAGTGAGAACTTTTCATCAACATGCGCCAGTGCGCTGCATGTTCATAGCAAACCACAGTGCTCCATCTAACTATGGCTTAATAATTTTATTCAGCACAGTTCTATGCCACCCTTCATTGCAGGACAGTTTGCAGTATAAAAACACAAAAATATATAGCAAACAAAAACAATGATGTGCCAACCATCTCAACATGTGTGTCCTAATTTGGAGCACTAGCTCTGCTCCTTGGCTTGGGTCCTCATGCCCTCCTCTTTTTTTCTTTCCCTTTTCAGGGTTGCGCAGTGGCCAAGCAGCTAGGAGCAGAAACCTACCTGGAGTGTTCAGCCTTCACATCGGAGAAAAGCATCCACAGCATCTTCCGGACAGCAGCGTCCATCTGCCTGAGCAAGCCTGGCCCTCAGCCCCCCAAGAGCCCAGCCCGAAGTTTCCCCAAGAGACTCCTCCGCTTTCCCAGCCGATCTGAGCTCATCTCTTCCACTTTCAAGAAGGAGAAAGCAAAAAGCTGCTCTGTCATGTGAAGGGGCCGCCTACTTCCGGGGAGCAGGGGGTGGCGGTGGCAGTGGAACCATTGCGGACACTGGGCCCTCCAGCTGGCCCTTCTGGGGTGGGGAAGGGAGAGGGCTGCCTGGCTCCCAGGGGCCAGGCCTGGAGACTCCAGAAGGATCCCATTCCCAACTCCCTCGCCGGCTTGAGCAAGCCTGCCGCCCCTTCCGCATTGCAATGCTTCCCTCCATGCAGCTGCAGTGTGCGCTTCTTCCAGATAGACGTGAAGCGGGGAGGGGGAGTCTGGCTGGACTGCAAAGGTGAAGGCTGGCCCAAGACCAACTGCTCCGGAAAGCCTTGGGCCTTGGCATAGCAACATCGTGGACAGCAGTGGCTCTGGTGGTCGTTCCACATAGATTTGGAAGGTTCTAAAGAATCGCCCCCTTTCTGATGCACAGTTAATATCTTTGTTTGGCCCTCTTCCCATCAGCTGCTTGTCTCCATTGCCTGTGTGAAGCAGGCCGAGTGCAGATCACTTCTCCCTTCTCTCCCCCCCCCCCAAAGCCTGCCGAATATTGTGTCCTTCCTTTTACCCTCCTCCCTCTAGCAGAGAGGTGTCCGGGTACCCTCTCCTTCGCCTCTGCAATTGCGGGTGGAGGGGGGTGGAGGGCAGGACGAGGGAGTGGTTGTTTTATAGACATTGTCTCTTTGTGTATGGGAAGGAAAGGAAATGGGGCAAATCTGTTAAATGTTCAGTGTTATTAAAAGAAGAAACTTATTTATTAATGAAAATATAATGCAGATTAACATCCACATTTGAGGGGTTTCTTATTTGTTAGTATCATTCTTGGATTTTCCTGGTCATGGAGGAAACTGGGAGGGATTGACTTGCAGATACCAAGTCCAAACCAAAGTGAGCCTTTTATGGAATCCTTTTCCTCATTGACATGTCTTATGGTGCCTCTGTCCATTGCAATAGATTCTGGGGCATGTTCTCAAGTGAGCAGTTAGTTGGCCAAATCCGCCTCATTGGTGCTATGCTTCAGTGCACTCTAGAACATACCCAATGCTCTGTGACAATGTGTGTTTCAGGAATAGCTTATTTCTAGGACAGGTTGTCTGCTGCTACAGATCTTCTGATTAGGGAATGATACAATTCCTGTAGCAGTTTTGATTCTCTGCCAGTACAATGGTCAAGTCCCCAAACAATTTCTTCATACCAAAGCCTAGCAGTACTTCTAGAGTGGAGGGGAATACAATGAATACAGCTAGAATAATATTGATTGAGGGGCATACCTTTTGCAATCACTCTAGCTAAAGTTAATGTAAGATGATGCTAGCACTATCCAATTAAGCTGGGATGCTGGAGGTCGTGGCTCCCTTTTAAGCATCAACTATGGAAGCGCACTCCAGTACAAAGTGGTTGCAGGTAACAATGATGTTAAATTGTATATAGCCTCCCTTCTTAGTGGTTATCTAAGCCCTCACCTGGTTGTGTTCCACAGTTAACCCACACTACAAGAAGCCTTAGTTTGAGCTGGGCTGGAATTCTGCATCCTTTCACCATGTCTAAATTTGGCTAGTGGAATATAGTATGGAAGTTTTAATCCTGTAGTTTCAAGTGGAATGGAGTGCTTTGAGTAAGAGAAGCTTCTCACACGAGGCTGTCTGTACTCTTCTCTTTACCCAAAAGAGCTCATTGAGGCCTCATGACTACCTGACCCCTGCTGCTGGAAGTTAACTTGAGAATGTCTGAGGCCAGCTATTCTGCAGACAGTGGCACACCTATATAAGTTGTGATCTTGCTGTTACTGCCTGGCTGTGCTTGTGTTGCAACTGCAGCTGTTGGGGAAATGGGCAGGAGCCCTACCAGAGTCTCCTGAATTCCAGCTTTCCTCAAAAGGATTGAAGAGTCCTAGCCCTCCTTATGATGCCCTACCCAATGTTTGTTAAAAGGGCTCTGCCTATCTACAATTAGAGTACCTGAACAAGAGAGTACGTTTGAATAGCTTGACACTTGCAGAGTTGTTTTTCACTTGTTGATCATTATTTGCATAGTTTTTACATGTTTTATCCTGTTTAGAGCAAGCTTTAAGCATTTTGCTTTCCAAGTGGTTGGTTCATGAATATCCTGTAGCAACCCAATTCTGTTACAGGGATAAAAATTATTGAAATCCAAAGCCCTAAGTAATCCCTTGGGTAGACCTGGCAGAGATCCTTCCTTCTGAGAGAGGGAGAAGTGGTGGCAGAAGGGAGGCTAGACACCCCACTCCAGCTCTCTTGGCCCAGGGTTCTTCCACATATCTTAGTTTTACTATGCAAGGCTGTAGCCAGGCAGGATCTCATGCTGTGCTGGACTTTACCCTCTCAGCAAATAGAGGCCTACTATCACATCCGGCATACTAATTCTCTCTTAGTTGCAACAGCGATACTGCAGGAGTGAACTATGTCATAGGAAAGAGGAGTCACAGCTTCCACAGGTGTGCCCTTTCTTAGCTGCTGAGGTGAAAGGTCCCTGGTTTTCATTTTTGCTTTTAACAGTAATTATGGTTTTTGGTTCAACTGAAAGGACCAGCTAGTCGGTAATGGGAAAGATTCTGACCACAGTGAGTCACTGTTGGTTTGAACAGACAATGCTCAGAATGCTGGACTAGCTAGGCCTTGGGACTGATCCAGCAGGATGAGAAAACAGGCTGACCTGGGGTAGGGCAAAGTTAGCTAGACCACCACAAGTGTTCACTCAGAAGCTCAGGCTGCAACAACTGAACCTCATCCCATAAAACAGCATTCTGGAAGCCTCCCTATGCCCTGTCCCAACCATGGCATCAAGCTCTGAGTTGAGTGACTTCCTCTCGCACTGTGCTGCAATCCATCATGGCAGGCCTCCCAAGATTCTGATATCCCTGCCTGTTCCGCTGGATGGCACTATGTAATGTGGATGTAATGGAATAAGTTTTATACGCTGTCATCACTGCCATACATTAGACTATAAGCTTTAAGCTGTGTTCTGTCAACTTCACTACAGGACCTGCACCACCTGTCATCCAACTGTCATACTTATTTCATTGACCACAGAAAATGAGGGAGCCAGCTGGGCTCCACAGTGCTAAAGGGATTTAGGAGCAACTGTGTAGATGATGCCTCTCCATCTTGCAATTCTGCAACAAAACTAGGGCCTTGACAGGTGTGTCAAGTCATGTCAACTGGAATCTCAGAAATGTAGAGTTGGAAGGAGTCTCAAGGGTCATCTAGTCCAACCCCCTGCAATGAAGGAATCTCAGCTAAAGCATCCAAGACTGATGGTCATCCAGCCTCTGTTTAAAAACCTCCAATAAAGGAGGGTCCACCACCTTCCAAGGAAGACCATTCCACTGTCAAACAGCTTTTGCTGTCACAAAGTTCTTTCTGGTATTTAGTCAGAATCTTTTCTTGTGTGTAACTATAATCCATTGGTTTCGGTCCTACCCTCCAGAGAAGGGGAAACAAGTTTGCTCCAGCTTCCATGTGACAGCAGTTTAGATATTTGAAAATGGCTATCATCTCTTAGTCTTCTCTACCGGGCTAAACAGCCCCAGCTCCCTCAACCATTCCTCATAAGACTTTGTTTCCGAATCCCTTATCATCTTGGTTACCCTCCTTCGCACATGTTTCAGCTTGTCAGTAATCTTAAAACTGCCCAGAACTGGACACAGCACTCCAGGTGTGGCCTGACCAAGGCAGAATAGAGCAGTACTATTGCTTCCATTGAACACGCCCATCCCAAGCATTCAGGAATATTAAATGGTCCCCCTAACACCACAAGATGGAATAACAGCCACTGCAAATCCAAATCTCACCTGGAAGTGATACATACATAATGGTGGGGTGACCTGTAGTCCTCACTTATTACCAGATCATTCCCAGCTCCTCCTCCAGTAGCATCTCTAGAGATGTATAGGCCTGGTGGGGGGAGAATCTTAGGAAAAAATGTGGAATCCCCCCTCCCAGGCCTTCACATCTCTAACCACCACCAAGACTACCTGCATCAGCTCAGGAAGGAAGGCTGTTGAGCAGCAGAGCAGGCTTTACACCAACCAGATCCCTGTTCAGTCTCTGATCCATTGTCAATAAAATACATCCAGTTCCAGCTTCCAGACACATTTATTCCTACTGTAGTTAGAATTCCTATGAACGATGGCAACCTGCACCCAGTGATGGGCTTTGGGCTCTCAAATTTATGCTAAAATTGGTGCCCTCCCACCTCTCTTGTGCTCTGTTCTACAGCATTGTTGTGGTACACTGGTCACACTACCCTAAAACTGCCTCTGCACCCCCAGTGTTGGTGCTGCTTCAAGTATCGGGACGGAGGGAGAATGAGCAAACTGGGTCAGATCAAGCCTGCCCAGCCCATCCACACAGGTGATACATGCCAGGTGAGCCACCTCATCTACAGTCAAACTGGGGGTGAGAGTTGTTTGCATTTTGGACTGACTTGGCTTCTAACAACAGCAGGTGAGAGATGGCAGGTTGGCATGCCATCCCAAATCTTCTCAGGTGAGGAATGGCCCTGAAGAGGCAACCGCCTTAATACATTGGATATTCCTGCCCTTCACTGGCCATCTGCCATCCCCCAGCGCCATAACACCCTGTGCCTCTTAGAGGCCCTCAAGTTCTCCCTCCACTCAAACACAACCTCCACAAGCCGAAATGCTTTCTAATACCAGCCCTTCAACTAGCTGAGAAGCCAGCAAACCTCCAAGAATGAAATTAATCGTGGTGGCACACAAGAGTTTGTGGTGCACCATGTTTTTATTGCTGTTTTTTTGCTCTGCTTTATGCTGACAGGCACCTTGTGAATCCTTAAGAGTTTAAAGGGGAAAATATGGGGAAACTTCCAATAAACAAAAAATAAAATAAATTTGAACCCGCCGGTGCCCATAACTTTGATACAGGCTGGGTGCGCCCTCTAATGCCTGCTGCACCAACCTGCAGCTACAAATCAATTGGAACTCCCAACCAAAGGTGGCACCTCGGGTTGGCTGGCTATTTAAAACCTTTTAACCTATCATTCCGTATAATTAAATCTATAAAGGTCCGTATAGTTAAAGCTATGGTTTTCCCAGTAGTGATGTATGGAAGTGAGAGCTGGACCATAAAGAAGGCTGATCGCCAAATAATTGATGCTTTTGAATTATGGTGCTGGAGGAGACTCTTGAGAGTCCCATGGACTGCAAGAAGATCAAACGTATCCATTCTGAAGGAAATCAGCCCTGAGTGCTCACTGGAAGGACAGATCCTGAAGCTGAGGCTCCAATACTTTGGCCACCTCATGAGAAGAGAAGACTCCCTGGAAAAGACCCTGATGCTGGGAAAGATGGAGGGCACAAGGAGAAGGGGACGACAGAGGACGAGATGGTTGGACAGTGCTTAACGGTTGCCATTAATTTGATTTTAATTAATTTTTATAATGAAATGTTTTAGAATGTTTGATTATTTGATTGTTTGATTATTTGATTGTTGTTAGCCACCCTGAGCCTGGCTTTGGCTGGGGAGGGCGGGATATAAATAAAATTTATTATTATTATTATTATTATTATTATTATTATTAGTGTTCTCAAAGCTACAAACATGAGTCTGACCAAACTGCGGGAGGCAGTGGAAGACAGGAGTGCTTGGCGTGCTCTGGTCCATGGAGTCACGAAGAGGCGGACACGACTAAACGACCAAACAACAACAACCTATCATTCAAGTCAATTTCAGACATAATTACGAATTCACAATAAAAATCAAACCAGCAAGTAGTCAAAGTGGTGATTCAGGTTTGTTTGTCTTTTGGGGTGTGTTTTTTGGTGGTAGTTATGGTTTTGCGGGGGAGGAGGCAGGGTTGGCCCCATTTTGGCACCTGGGAGAACCACAAAAGGAAAGCCCTTCCTTCCCACCAGGGGAAAAGGGGTGAGCGAAGATCCGCATCAGGAACAACGGTGTGAACGCAGGGCGGCGGTGCCTTTGCGGGGGGCCGCTCCAGCAAGTTCCTTCGCAATAAACCCGTCTCCATCCCCTCGCATGAAAGCACGTCTGACCGAAGTCCCACGGAGCCAGCAAAACAACATTTCCCAGTAGCCCCCATGGGGGAAGGCGGTGTTAATCTTCCGTCAAGGCGCCGAAACGCCCTCTGGGAAATGTAGTTTTCTTACTTACGTTCCGTTTAGAACGCACAGGCTGCGTACCCCGAGAAGCTTATTTGCCGGGCGAACAGAGCGCCTTCCGAGTGTGGTGCATGCTGGGATTTTTTTCTTTTTGTTTTTTCTCTCCCTGCCTCGCGGTTTCTGTGGGAAATGTAGTCCTAAGCCCGGGCACTGAGGCGGCAGGGATAGCCCGAGTGGACTTGCTTTCCCATGATGCTCCGCGGCACACCCGCTGTTGTGACCGGAATTAGCTTTAGTAAGATGGCGGCGATGTTGGCGGCGCAGTGAGTTGCTGGTAACGTCGGTAAGGGCTACAGGTGAGGCGCACCCGCTTGTCCCCCGGCCACCGTCGGTGTTTCCAGCGACTGCAAGTAGGGAAGGCTATCGAAGACGAAGGGCAGCCGCTGGAGGCAGAAGGGCTGCCGGCTTCAGGTCAGCGGTAGTTGCGGGCGCCTCACGCCGTCGCTTCCCTCGCCTTGGTTTGTTTCCAGACGCTCAGCCCTGACGGGGATGGTGCCAGAATAAACACAGAGGTTTGTGCACCAGGGTTCGTGGGAGGAAGAGACGTTGTTGCTGTTTGTTTGTTAAATTTGTATCCTGCTTTTCCTCCCCATTTTATCCTGACAACAACCCTGTGAGGTAGGCTAGGCCGAGAGTGTGTGACTTGGCCCAAGGTCACCCTGTGAGCTTCATCACCAAGTGGGGATTTGAACTCTGGCCTCCTAGGACCCGGTCTGGCACTTTAACCCAGGCACAGGCAAACTCCGGCCCTCCAGATGTTTGGGACTACAGTTCCCATCATCCCTAGCTAATAGGACCAATGGTCAGGGATGATGGGAATTGTAGTCTCAAACATCTGGAGGGCCAGAGTTTAACTATGCCTGCTCTAACCACTACCCCACATGGGCTCCCATGCAGAGTGGGGCATTTCTAGCCTGACTTGAGCTCCACTGTCTTACCTGCTACAACACCAAAGCCCCTCCAGCCCCTTCAGCCCAAAGATCAAGTATCTCCCTCCAGCTTTAGGGAGTGAGCTGGGTGAAAGAATTCGAGAAGAGTGAAGTCTTGATTGTTCTGTTGAGGTTTGTGCCGAAATAACTGTGATTGTCATTGTGTATCATGTGCCACTTTTTCCAACATAAAATTTTATTTTATGCTCTATTTTTATGTTAAAATATGTTTTATTTGTTACATTTTATTATATCCCACTTTTCTTCCAAAGAGCTCATAGTAATATTTCCTCCCTCTCCCAGCTTTTATCTTCACAACCAATTTGTGCATGACTGAGGGGAGATATGATCCCAGGTCTCCCTTTTTCATCAGTCAGACACTTTTGCTGCTATACCATACAGTCATAGAACCAGCATGTGGCTCATCAGCTGTGAACATGCAGCATGCACCTGATCATGAATTTTTATCATGCCTATATGCAGAAGAACTACTTGTTGTTGGACATGATGATTTTTGTGTGTGCGTGCGCATGTGTTTTTCCACTACCAGTCTATATGAATTTGAAACAATTGCTCATTGGCAGACTTTTAATTTATTTCAGTCTATGTGACATTTATAAATTTGTCCTGATCAATTTTTGGGCTTCCCCTCTAAAAACAGGCCAGCTGTGTTAAAACTGGTAGCAATAGCCTGTTTAATCAGTATTTATTCTAAGAGGACCATGTTGAGAATGGAGTAGAAGGCAATATGCCAAGACTGCCACCTTCCCAAAATAGCCTGCCAGCAAATCCTCTTTCAGAGATGCTATCCCCTCCACAGATTCCTTTTTCATGTCCAAATCAGTAACTGGGAGGAGTTCAAGTGGCATTTCTCTTGGGAATCAGGTGCTCCAACTGTTGGTCCCTCACCAACTTCCACACCTTGAAAACTTTCTCAGGATTTTAAGAATGACATGATTGGTGTATAATGCGAGGAGTGAGATTTCTGATTCTTAATTAAGCTATATCCACAGACAGTTGGGGGCAATTCCATACTGAAGCAGGTCTCCAATCCCCCTTCCTCTTCCTAATAACTTCTGTATATTAATACCATCAACAAAACTTTTTTAATCCAGATGGCTGGGGAAACTGTTGAAAAGAGAGAGAGAGATTCTTCACCCCTCAAGGAAGAGCGGAGACGCTCACGTTCAGCTGAACGAGAGCGAGACAGGAAAGGCTCCCCCGTCACAAAGGACAGGAAAAGGCACCGCTCCCGTGAGAGGAGGAGAGGCAGTCGATCAAGATCCCGATCCAGGTCCAAATCGACTGAGAGGTAAGGCCAGATTATAGGTCAATTTGGTTTGCTGCAAGGATGATGAAGGCTAGTCAGCCTTGAGTGTCTTAAGTAAGCAGGGAATGCTGTTAGCTTCAGCTGTTTTTATTTGGCTATTAGTAGGATTCAACAATCCAGCACTGAACTAGATTTTGGACTCAAACCAACAATTTACCGAGGTAGCATCCAGTTTCTCAGAGCAGTTACTTTCAAATGCTTTGGGGGTGGACTTAGTAACAGAGTCACAATCTATTCCCAACAGAAATGGTACTTACATAAGTTCAAGGACACCCAGTGCATGTGCTTTGTAGACATACTGTTCTGCATCCCTTGTTACACTGGGGCTAGGTAGTCGGTATTGTTGGTTTTGAAATAAAAAATGGGTACAAAGTTTTCCTAAACTACACTGATAGAGCTTGGTTTCTAAGACTTGCAAACACTGTGCGTGCTAAACAGACTACAGTGTATCACTTTACTTAATATAACGCATCTGCTTTCTTTGGGGAAGGGAGCTTGTGAGACAATGCAAGTTAGTGAAGCCCAACCAATGAAAATGTTGCTCTGTCCTAATTCTCTCCTGAATTTGAGCTGTGGATAATCTTTTTTTTTTTTTTTTCATTTTCATTTTTAAGAAAGAAAATGGAGGTTCTTATGATGCTAAATTCAGTGCTCTGTGCCAAATTCAGCACTTCAGAGGCACTGTTGCAGAGTTACATCCACTCAGTCTTGATTACATTTATTGTCAATTTCTATGCCTTTCCAGGTCTGCTGTACAGATAAACCACAGCTGTACCCTTTATATAAAGGCTGAGTTGATGGGTGTGAGCAAAACATAAAGGGACTATATCTATAGGAGGATGCTAATTTAATTTGGTGGGATTGAACAGTTTCTACAGTTGGTTGGTTGATTTCTATTGATTCAGGTTTCTGCTGTCTGATGGAAGGGGTGGCTTGATCTGTGTGCATTGAAATCAGTTATTCGCATGTAAACCATTTGTTTGTAGAGAGCGACGATATAAAGAGCGGGAGCGAGACAAAGAGCGGGAGCGCAGCAAGAAGGACCGGGATCGTGAGAAAGATGGGCACCGGAGGGACAAGGACCGCAAACGGTCCAGGTAAAACACTGTTTCCTAGACAATGAATGCAGTTACTTCTGAGGTGTCGCAGCTGTTGTGGAATATAGCATTGTTTCATGGGTAGCTGGGGTAGAAACATGATGAAAAAGTTACCTACAATTTCACCATTTTAGCTTTATGTTTGGATTTATTGAGAAGTTTCATCTAAATTCTTGGGTTAACAGGTTACTATTATGGGAATTGGGCTCAAGGTACAAGGCCTAGGTTGTTGTTGAAAGGGCAGTAGCATCTACAGTTACCATGAGTGACTGGTGCTGAGGATTTGTTCAATAGATTTATTTAGATTTGGATATATTTAAATATTTATAATCCATACTTTCATGAAGTAGATCAGAATGGTGGGTAACATACCAAATATAATAAAATCAGTAAAGTAGTCCATAAAAACATCAGTGAAACATCAGCAGATACTAGTTGGTTAAAAAGAGAAATGCATATTTCAAAGGCCTGTCTAAATAATTGAAGACGTCTAAAAGAAGGGAGGGAAAGTTCCTGCTGAACCTCTACTGGTAGGGAGTTCCACAGGGCAGGGCTTGCCACACTAAAGGAATGGTCCGTCATTGAGGCCAGCTGAACCTGAGGGACTGAACCTAGATCCACCCAGTGAAATGGGGTAACCCCAACTCCTGACTCTTCTATCCCTCTGGCACAGGAGCTCCTCTCCAAGTCGGAACAAAGACTCCAAATCCAGAAAGGACAGAGATTCTCGCAGAGATGATGATGATGATTCATTGTCAAAGAAGGAGAAGGTAACTGCATGTACCTTCTAGATGTCCAGTGCTTGTTCGGTTCTCTGTAACATGTACAGTTAAGCTGGGTGGGTTTGAATTCCCCACAGCACCCTGATGCTTTTAATTTGAGACCTCTTTTTATTAAAAATTACAAGTCCATGTATATTTTTCAAAGTGTGTTTCTAGGATGGCATAGATAACCTTTTTTTGGTTGAAAGGCCTTATACTATAAATCTCTGGTATGTTTCTGTTCTCTACTTCTTTATATATCTCTGGAAAGTGCTTACTGTGAGATGAAACGGCAGCTCTTCTCGATTAATCAGGCTACTTAAAAACAGTTTTTTACATTCTCTTTCAACCTTGCTCCTTTGGAACTTTATAGCATAGCACTTTTTCCATACAGCCAAAAGTATAGACCCCACAGCTTCAGTGATAGCAATTCCTACTTTTTGGGTTTCTCTGTCCCACCCCACTCACCTCCACCCCTGATTTTAACATGCACTTATTTTGTTCACAGGCCCAGCCACTTTCTCTGGAGGAGCTGCTGGCCAAGAAGAAAGCTGAGGAAGAGGCTGAAGCCAAGGTAAGAGCATGGGGGCATGCCTCCACTTTCTTTTTCCCTACCTACCAATTCCATTTTTGCCCGGGTGAGGCCAGCAGGTGGGTGTATTGGATTACAGCAAGCTGTGTGTGTCTAAAGCTGTGCTTTGCTTCCTGGCATCTTCAGCAATACTTGATGAGGGAAGTACACAAGATTTCCTTGCACGCTCAACATCTTGCTCTGATTTCTTGCAGCCGAAGTTCCTTTCCAAGGCAGAACGAGAGGCCGAGGCCTTGAAGCGACGGCAGCAGGAGGTGGAGGAGCGGCAGCGGCTCATAGAAGAGGAGAGGAAAAAGAGAAAACATTTCCAGGAAATGGGGAGGAAGATGCTAGGTAAAGATTACCTCTCAGGAGATCATCAGGTACAGTGGTACCTTGGAAGTTGAACAGAATCCGTTCCAGAAGTCCGTTCGACTTCCAAGACGTTTGGAAACCAAGGCACGGCTTCCAGTTGGCTGCAGGAAGCTCCTGCAGCCAATCGGAAGTCATGTCGGACATTCGGGTTCCAAGGAACATTCACAAACCGGAACACTCACTTCCGGGTTTGTGGCGTTCAGGAGCCAAAGCGTTCGACTCGCAAGGCATTCAGGATCCAAGGTACAACTGTATTCAGCTTCAGGGGCATGATGTGATTCCCTGCTCTGAGCTTGTGTCCTGATGCCACGTTTCCTGACATTCTGCCATTTACTACAGAAGACCCCCAGGAGAGGGAGCGGCGTGAGCGGAGAGAGCGCATGGAACGAGAGACCAATGGCAATGAAGATGAGGAAGGGCGGCAAAAAATCCGTGAGGAGAAAGATAAGAGTAAGGAACTACATGCCATCAAGGTAATGCTAGGCCATTTCATTTTCTCTCTGTAAGAAGTATAGAGATGAGGATTAATGGGTTTGAGCAAGGGGCTGGCATAGGATAGTATCTTTGATGTGCATCCAAGTGGCTGAAGTTGAACTCATTGATCAATTTAATGCAATCATACCAGTTTTTTGAGTGAATCATCACAGTTTTCTATGTCCTGAAAAATATATTATTGGTGTGGGTTGATTGTCACAGTAGACCCACTCACAAAATCAACCTGACAGTGCCAACGTACTTTCAACCTCCCAAAAAGCCAGCTTTAGAAAATGGTCTGTAAAATTGTTTGATCACTTTTCCTCACTCATTTCTTGTCCTTTACATGACTTCATAACCTTAAGGCTAGGCTACTGTAATGACTTTTCTTTGGGGGTTCCTGAGTTTTTGAAATGTACACCTGAAGAAGAAAGCAACAGCCCAGTTCTTAACAGGAACACATCTTCAGACACAGCTGTTTGGAGTTTTCAGCATTGGAATAGAAGGCTTTTTCCCCCCTTTGCTTTGCTGCGGCAAAACTGGGCCGAGATCAGAACCTATGCAAATTCATTCTTCCTGCTTTTTCCTGGGTCTTTGTTCCCAAGGTCCAATGATGATACACATGTTTTCTGGGCTGGGAATGAAACGGATGATCTGGATATGAGCCCAAGTGAGCAAAAAGCTGATTTGGGAACCAATGCAGAGTCTGAACTGTTAGCCGGGGTGTCCCTAGTTCAGATTGCACTTCTGTCACTACAGGGCCTTAGGGAAACTCTTGTCTTGTCAGCCTCAGGCACGTATCAGAAATATGAGGAATAATAATACTGACCCACCTTACAGGGCTGTCATATATGAAGCGTCTGGAAAACTTAAAAAGAGCAGCATACGTGTTTATTGTAATTGTGATCCAACCGGTGTGTGAATTGGATTATAGCAAGCTTTAAGGTATATTTTGCTCCTTAGCGTGTTCAGCAACAATCCTTGTCTCTTCGCAGTCAGACTGAATTGCAAAGGGAGGCACATAGAGTTTCCTTGCAAACTTCCTTTGTGTTTCATTGGGAAATGTTGTCTTGTTTTTCCTTTGGAAAAGTCTGAGAGGGCATGAACTGAAATAAATACCCATGTCCCCTTAGGAGCGGTACTTGGGTGGGGTCAAGAAGCGGAGACGTACTCGGCATCTGAATGACCGCAAATTTGTCTTTGAGTGGGATGCTTCCGAAGACACTTCCATTGACTACAATCCTCTGTGAGTATTGCTGTGGGAGGCAGGTTCCGTATGGGATGCTATGGGTGTCCGCAGAGCCATATATCTATCCTTGCTCCTAGGAACAATCTGAAAATCCCATTTCCTCCTTAGCCGGTATAGCTGACACAAATGAACCAGGAATATTCCCATCCCTGTGAGAGGAAGATGACTAGAGGTCTGGGATTTGGGATTTGTAGAAAAACTACATCCTTGTACCCTAAAAATACAAATTCTCACATGGCAGTGAGTTGTGCAAATTAAGTGGGCTTGTGGAAAAAATTGAGATGGGGTTCTGGGAGTTCCTAACCAGATTCTAACCACCTACAGTTTGGAGTGTATACAGTACCATCTGACATTCTGTTCAACAGGTACAAGGAGCGACATCAGGTTCAGCTGCTGGGACGTGGCTTCATTGCTGGCATTGACTTGAAACAGCAGAAGCGGGAGCAGTCGCGTTTTTATGGAGACCTGATGGAGAAGCGGCGCACGCTGGAGGAGAAAGAGCAAGAAGAGTAAGTTACAGGAAGGGAGGCAGGTGCTGGTGTTGTGAAGTTCATGATGACATTTCTCCAGCTGATGAGGGAACAGTTAACTTTTGTGGTTTTGCGTTCAGGTGGATATGGGAAGACATTCTGTGCTTTCATCACATGTACAAGGATTGGTGGGTTGTTGTTTTTTTCAATTCAACCAACCAAAACTCTCTGACAGGGAAAGTCCGACTCTTAAGAGTTCATTGTGAGGAGTGTAAATCATGAAAATTGTTCAAATTATATGCATACTCTATTAATAGATCAAATCCATTGTTGGGTTTTTTAGCCACACATGCCATTCAGCATCTACAGAAGTAATGAATAGGTTACTTGAGCCAGCTTGTGCTCACCAGTTTTCTTTTCTGGCTAGAGTTTTGTGCTTTTAGCAGTGGGGCTTGCTAAACCTCGCCACGGTGGCAAAAAGTGGCGGCAGTCTGCAAGTTCTCCTGGCGGTAGTAGGAGGCAGTGGCAGAAGCTGTGGCAGCCTGCCTCAGTGAGGCCTTGCAGGCTGCCACTACTATTGCTGCCACTGCAAGGCCTTGCAGGCAACCATTACTGCCACTACCATGACAAGGCCTTTGCAGGCTGCCACCACTTCTGCCCCCCGGCCTTTGCTGATTCTACTGCTGCCAGGCTGCTGCCACTGCTGCTGCTTAGTGGGCATGCTGGCAGTCTGGCACTCCCAGATTATTTGTATTCACTATGACTCATTGCCGTGCTGTGGATTGTCCTGAATACCACCATTGGGTAGTCAAACCCAAAACTAAAAGTCCTGTTTGGATGCATTTTGCCTTGACTGATTAAAGTGATTAAATCAGTGATTAAAGTGACCATGAGGTGATTGATAATATTATCATTTATCCGTTTTAGACCCCTAAGTAGCAGCAGTCGCCAGGACATTGTCATTTTCGCCTTTGCATAGTTCCATGCTTATTTCAGACATTGTGGTAGATTGTGATGTTTTGCTGGTGATAACATTGCAATGTTTAGCTGGGGATACATTGCAATGTTGAAAACCAGATATCGCCTAATCCTCACACATACTGTGATTCATGATATATTGCCAGGTAAAATATTATGAAACAGTTATCATGATGTGAACGTCTAACCAGTTTTGGACGATATCTCAATATATCGCCCAATCCTATTCCAGGCATAGTTAATAGGTTGCAGTAAGCAAAGTTTTGTGCGAATGTGGGCAAATAAGAGCAGCCCTCTTCCAGTTTGCTGGGGTTTTTCTTTGCTTTTGTCTTCTACCATTTTGGCCTGCCTATTCTGACCCTGTTGGGCTCTTCCTTCTTCGTAGGGCACGTCTGCGCAAGCTGCGTAAAAAGGAGGCCAAGCAACGCTGGGATGACAGGCATTGGTCTCAAAAGAAACTGGATGAGATGACAGACAGGGATTGGCGTATCTTCCGGGAGGACTACAGCATCACCACCAAAGGAGGCAAGATCCCCAACCCTATTCGTTCCTGGAAAGACTCTTCGCTGCCCCCTCACATCTTGGAGGTCATTGACAAATGCGGCTACAAGGTGAGATGCAGGTCACTTCATAAAGATGGATTGGCCCTTCTGCTAACCATTGAAACTTCAGTTTATTTTGAGAGACTGTATAAGTGCATATTTTAAATCCTGTTTTAAAATATAAAAGTTTATATTTTAAGATGATCATTTTTTTAAAAATCATCATTTAGTTTATGGGGGTGGGTGTTGTTGAACAGGGACTGAGCAGCATGACTTCTGGAGATCAGCTTTGTTCTTGAAAGGCCATATTGTTTTGGATGTTGAGGAGGGCTAAGAGTCAGGATTCCTGGTTCTGTTGCTGACTGCTTGAATTCCCTTTGATTCCTCCCAAGAAGTCTAGTGCTTTCCTGATAGGTTTTATGCCCCGTTTTCCACAGGAACCAACTCCTATTCAGCGTCAAGCCATTCCTATTGGTCTGCAGAACCGTGACATCATTGGCGTGGCAGAAACTGGCAGTGGTAAAACAGCTGCCTTCCTTATCCCATTGCTGGTGTGGATCACAACACTTCCCAAGATTGACAGGTGAGGGAGGGAGTGATGGGTGCTGCGGCAGGTTAGGCCTCTTTTCCAGAGGGGGGGGAATGAAATGGACATTGGAGGGTCCTGGTTTGGGTCTGGGTCCAATGCTCACATGCAAATGATTCTTCAACACCACGGTTTGCACTGGTGCTCTCAACCGCCAGGCATTCTTCTGTGAGGGAGTGATATTTATCTAATACCACACATCAAGTACAGTGGTACCTTGGTTCTTGAACTTAATCCTTTCCGGGAGTCTATTCAACTCCCGAAAACATTTGAAAACCAAGGTGCGGCTTCTGATTGGCTGCAGGAGCTTCCTGCACTCAATCGGAAGCCGCATTGGATGTTTGGCTTCCAAAAAGCATTCACAAACCGGAACACTTCCGGGTTTGTGGCGTTCAGGAGCCAATTTGTTCAGGAACCAAGGTACCGCTGTAATCTGTTTGGGAAGCCTTTGTAACCCCCCTAATATTTCAGTAACTTTTGGTGGCAAAGCTCAGAATTGTGCTAGTCACTTCTCACCCCTGTTTTTGTGTGTATATGAGAATGAGTGAGAGGTGGGGAGATGAGGATTTTTCTCCCATGGTAAAGCCATTGCTTCCAGGTGTGCAGCTTTGAGTGAGCAGGACCACAGTCATGGCGTGATAACAAACATAAGAATTGCTTTGCTCACATTGACAAAAAAAAGTCCATCTTGTCCAGCAATGCTGTTTCCATCAGTGGCTACCCGGAGACTTCTGGGAAGCTCACAAACTAACCATGCTGGAGATAAGCCAAATCACCATGGACAGATGGCCCCACCCCTGTGTGCCCTGCAGGGACTTCCTTGCAGCTTTTGTTGTGCTCCGGCTGTGTAAAGACCTGAATGGCTGGTGTCAACTTATGAACATAGAAAACTGCCTTGTTTGGAGTCAAACCATTGGTCCATCTACCTCAGCATTGTCTACACTGACTGGCAGTGGCTCTCCAGGGTTTCAGGCAGGTTTCTCCCAGCCCCACCTGGAGTTGCCAGGGATTGAACCTGCGACTTTCTGCATGCAAGGCATGTGCTGCACCGCTAAGCCAGGGGTAGGCAACCTAAGGCCCATGGGCCACAAGCGGGGGTCATTTAACCAGCCCGCAAGCCACCCCCGAACTGAGCCGCCCACTCGGCAAGTCCCCACACGCTGCCCTAAACTAGCACAGTGCAGCGCAGGGACTCGCTTCCGCGGTGCTGAAAATCGTGTCTGCGCATGCGCAGACGCCGAGAACATGTCTGCACAGACGCAGGCACCAGAAATTGCGTCTACGCAGACGCCGGAAATCATGGGTGTGCATGCAATCCGGCGCACGGAGGAATCTCCGCTGGAGTGAACCGGCCCAGGCGAGGTAAACCTTGCTGACCCCTGCACTAAACGATGACCCTTCCCCAGAAACCGTGGCTTCTAGGTGAGCTTGAAATAATCTGGTTCAGTTGGAACCCATTTACTTCACTGGGTTGACACTTGGGGGGGGGGCTTGTTTCCCCTCCGCCAAAAAGAAATCACATGGCGCCCACCCTTACTTAATTTTGTTTCAGTGGTAGTCAGTAGATCAAGGTCACAAATGTATACATTTCTCACAGTCCAATCTAGCAGGCGGAAACCTGGGGCATTCATTGGTTGGAATCCTGCCTTTGCTCCGAAGTCTCATAGGCCAGAGAGGGATGGTTTCACCCTGTCTGCTTCAACTCAGCGTGTGTTTTTTGTTCACTGCAGGATTGAGGAGTCGGATCAGGGACCCTATGCCGTCATCCTGGCTCCCACCCGTGAGCTGGCCCAGCAGATTGAGGAAGAGACCATCAAATTTGGAAAGCCCCTGGGCATCCGCACAGTGGCTGTTATTGGTGGCATCTCACGTGAGGATCAAGGCTTCCGCCTGCGCATGGGTTGTGAGGTGAGAGGTGCACCCTTCTGCATTAAAAGTTAGGGTGGGTGGTCTGTAAGGGCCGCAGTCAATGCTGCTGCTGCTGACACAACCAACTTCTCATCCTGCAATGGAGCTGCTTCTTCCTCTACTATATCCCCCTGCACACCCTCAAAATCAGTTCCAGAGGGTAGGGGGAGACGTTAGAGTAGATTTTAGGGGTACACAGTGGGAGGAGAGGAAATGGAAATCCTGTTGTACCAGCAGAACACTCTTGGCATATTGCTGGCTACAACCCTAAATGTTCACTTTGTGCATTAGCACAGTGCTCCTGTGAGTGATAAATGATGACACCCAATCATAGCTTAATATCCTCTTAACATCTGGCCTGGCTCACCTTCCTTGCCTGGATAGTACATTGGGAAATGTTGCACTGTTTCTTGAGTTCATCAGGGAAGGATGGAGAAAAGTTGTATGGACACAGGTTGCAAGGGTCATTTCCACCTCCATGTATCTGCTCTCTCTCGCTGAATGCCACAGATTGTGATTGCTACACCGGGCCGTCTGATCGACGTTTTGGAGAACCGTTACCTGGTGCTGAGCCGCTGCACCTATGTAGTACTGGATGAGGCTGACCGCATGATTGACATGGGCTTCGAGCCTGATGTGCAGAAGATCCTGGAGCACATACCTGTCACTAACCAGAAACCAGATACGGACGAGGCTGAAGACCCTGAAAAGATGTTGGCCAACTTTGAGTTGGGCAAGCACAAATATCGGCAGGTTAGTGGGGTTTGGATGCCTTGCTGTCACATCTGGTGTATTAACTTGTAAAAAGCAAAGCACTGGGGTTCAAGTTCCACCCTTTGACCCAAACACTCTTCCTTTAATCTGACCCGGTTAGCAATGTTTTTAAATCCACATGAGAAATAAGGCACTTTTTTTGAAGGGATGGAGGGTGTGGTTGGTGGCTGCTTATGGGCAGGGAGATGCTTTTATCTGAAAGCTGTTTCTTAGGAAACCATGTTCATTCCAGAGGGCAGTAGCCCACTAAACAGCACAAAGACTTTTAGTTGTGCAATGGAGCTTCCTTGTCTGCTCCTCTCTCCCCATATGCCCCCTGTGTGCACTGTAAAACTCTTCTGGGGGTTACCGCTATCCTCCAGAGCTGATTTACAGGATGTGTAGGGAGAGGAGAGGGCCCTGAGACCTCCGGGTATAGGGCTGTATATTATTATTATTATTATTATTATTATTATTTAATAACAATAATAGATAGATAGTCCTTGTGCTAATGGAACTGATCATTTGGGTTCCACCCAGAGTTCAGATTCATAGGCACAAAAGATGAGGCGGTTAAGAGGATGGTTGATGTTAGTGGCCATTCCCTTTTCCGTGGAACATACTGAGTGCTTGAAAGTGTGCTTTGAGAGGGAGCGAGGCAGAACAAGGAGAACATTTAAGCTTGGGCACCATTCACAGTAAAAAAAAAAACCCAACTTACCAGCCAGAAGTGGTAAAATGGTAGGATTAGATGCCCTTTGCAGGGTGAAGGGTTCATTGATTTCCTTTATTTCTAGCTAAAATACCGCAAATGGAAGTGTGGAGACTTGTTTTAGCTATGATTGGAGGTAACTTTCTTAATAAAAGAGCTCTCTTTGTACATATTTCCTGCAATGTGATATTTGTGAAAATGCATTCCTCCCCTTTTCTGCTTAAATTGGAGGAGTTCCATTATGTGGGAGGAGAGGCAGGCTGCCTTGCACTCATGCTCTCTCTTCTCTCCCCCGCCCGCACCTGCAGACTGTGATGTTCACAGCCACCATGCCCCCTGCTGTGGAGCGCCTGGCCCGCAGTTACCTGCGCCGCCCAGCGGTGGTCTACATTGGCTCTGCTGGCAAGCCACATGAGCGTGTGGAGCAGAAGGTCTTCCTCATGTCAGAGTCGGAGAAGAGGTAACCGCTGGTGTGGGAGGTTGCGTCAAGGGGCTTGGTTCCTCTAGTTCAAAAGAGGTAACGGGAGCCTTTGAGGTTTGGGCCCTCAGGTGTGGTAGGCATAGAACATAGAACTGTTTGTTTTGATTGGCACAGGGCTCTGTGCTTAAAAGGAGAACCCTTTGCAGAGGCAATTCACATCCATTTTATGCTTTTATCTTCGCTCCTTCCAAATTGTGGCATAAGCACATTTCTGGCTATGAAGTAAAGCCTCAACCCAAACATGGGGCTTCAGCCGTAATGTAATTTCCAGAGATGGGCTACGTGGAATGAGCCAGCATTCCTCATGACTTGAACCATGAAACAGTTCCCAAATTACTCAAGCAGAGTGGGTGGAGGTCCAAAGGAACCATGTACCCTCTTGTCGGGAAACTGAAAATACCAATGACTTGAAACGTGTGGAGAGAAACATGGTCTTGCAGTTACCTGTGGGGTGGGATCAGTGGGTCAGGATAACAACCAGTGCATCCTTTCCTTGGTGTGAGTGCAGAAAAGAGAACGTGGCATGTGGCTTAGAGTTGCGGAGGGACCCCAGAGTATCATTCAGTCCAGCCCCCCCCCCATATGCTTACTTGAATCTGGGTGCACCTTTTAGTTACGTGTTACAGGTTCTAGCCCTCCTTTCTGCCAAGGAGCTCAAGGCTGTACACATGGTTTCCCCTGCCCAGTGTTAGTAGTGTTGTTTCTGGATGTCATGGTACTGAACTGTTCCAAATGATAATACAGAGATGAGGCATGTCTTTGGCACGGATGGTTAGATATGTGTGCCAGAGGGCAGGGGTGCAACGTAACATTTCTGCTGAACAGATTACATCTTCAGACCCCGCCAACGTGCCTCACCTGTTTGCTTCTCCTCTCCTTTCCCCTGTACAGGAAGAAACTGCTGAACATTTTGGAGCAGGGCTTTGACCCACCCATCATCATCTTTGTGAACCAGAAGAAGGGCTGTGATGTGCTGGCTAAATCCCTGGAGAAGATGGGGGTAAGTGGTAATCTAAAGAACTGTAAGATCAAGAACTGCAGGTCCTGTGTCCAAGTATTTGAGGCCCATGTGAGGTTAGCTAGCCTATTTTTTAGGCTCTCGGAATTGGCGTCCTTGTGTCCTTTGTCAAACTTTGGGAAGATACGTAGGTGTTTTCTCTCACACTATCAGCAAATTATCAGAATAATGTGGTGTAGCTGTTGAGCTTATGGCAGCTGGTAAGACATTTTCTGGCTGACTTCTGAGCCCTGAATTGGCAGAGTTCAGTGCTCATTCTTGGTCTAGCAGTTGCCATTCCCCCCCACCCCACAAGCCCCTTGCAAGGTAATCAACATCTCTTGGTATTCACCAGGAATGTCTGGGAATGATGGAGCACTCTGCCCCTGTGTCTCCTCTTGAAACACTTGGCTGTCTTTGTCTCTGGAGGAATTGTTGCTTGTTCATTGCCTTCTTGTTACTGTCCTCATTGCCCAAACAAACATCTGGCTCTCCCATCTCTGCAGTACAATGCCTGTACCCTTCATGGCGGCAAAGGTCAGGAGCAGCGAGAGTTTGCCCTCTCCAACTTGAAGGCTGGGGCCAAGGATATTCTGGTGGCCACAGATGTGGCTGGACGTGGTATCGACATCCATGATGTGTCCATGGTGGTGAACTACGACATGGCCAAGAACATTGAAGGTGAGCTGTCCAGTGCTCTCTGCCTTTCTATAGAGATCTTCTGGGCACTTCCTTGGTCTTAGAACAGAAACCTTTGTGCCTGTGAGGCATGGCTTCAGCAATTTGGGCCACCGAACAGGAGAGGCGGGGTGGCCGTGGTTGGCATGCTGTGCTGCTGAAGTCACAAAGTTGATGTAGGTCCTTCTAATTTCACGTCTGGGAGTTGGCAGTGTGTAGTCACAAAGTGCACAAGTTAGGAAGTCTGGGTCAAATCTTGTCTCTGCTGCTTTGGGCAAGCCCTTCTGCCTCAGCCTCCTCTGCAATATGGAGTTGTTAGTGATGGCCTACCTTTTTCTAGGACTGTTGTAAGGATTAATGTGATGTATGAAGTGCTTTGAACACTGAAATTCTATACTGATACTTCATCTTCATTTTCATCTTTAATGACTTATCTCTAACTGTTAAGGGGTGATAGATTCAGGCAGGTAGTCGTGTTGATCTGATGCAGTAGAAATATATTTTTAAAAAATTAAAATTGTCCAGTAGCACCTTAGAGACCAACTAAGTTTGTTCTTGGTATGAGCTTTCGTGTGCGGAGACACACACACACACACACACACACACACACACACACACATATATATAACAGAATATAGATAGATAGATAGATAGATAGATAGATAGATAGATAGATAGATATATTCTGTTAAGGAGTGGTCAGTCTCTGTCCTTGACCCTGTAGTATGAGCCATCATTTAGATTTCCCATCCAGCACCAAAGGTTAGCCACATTTTAACACCTTCCTTCCTCCTTGCTTACAGATTATATTCACCGCATTGGCCGAACAGGACGAGCTGGCAAGAGTGGTGTAGCCATCTCTTTTGTCACCAAGGAGGACTCTGCTGTCTTCTATGACCTTAAGCAGGCTATCCTTGAGAGTCCGGTGTCTTCATGCCCTCCAGAACTGGCCAACCACCCAGATGCACAGCACAAGCCGGGAACCATCCTTACCAAGAAGCGGCGGGAAGAGACTATCTTTGCCTGAGTCCTGTAGGGTTGCTATTCAAGAGGCCCATCTGTGATTGCAGCCAGGGGACACTCTGGGCCACTGCCTGGAGCCTGGAGCAGACTGATAGAGTGAGAGCCTCCTGGTAAAATGGCTCTTTCTGGCCCACTTGCCGAGACCTTAAAGAGGCAGTGGCTTTTAATGTGCTTCCCACTCCCCTTCAAACGTAGTAGGTACACCCTTTGAGCCATTGATGTGACACCCAGCAAAGAATTCAGGACCAAAGAATGAAGACTTCAATCTAAAAAGTTATAATGTCTCCTTGGGAATCCTGAGCTAGACAATTCTCCCTCCTTCCTTTTTCCTGGAGCCTTGCTTTACATTTGAGTTGGGAAGCTGAGCTAGGCCAGGCCTGCAGACTCACCTTGCTGATTTGTGCCACTTGGTGGCTTTAAGCCTGCCACCTCCTCTACTCCATGATCAAGCGAGACTCTGAGGATTTGTCCCGACTTTCTTTGGGAGGGGGGAGTGATACAGCTTGTGGCACTCTGACTGGGATGCTGCAGGGACCTCCTTTCCTTCTCTGGTGAGAACATCACCCTGTTTCCAGTACCATGTTTCAGGGTGGTAATTTCATGAGGAAGGGTGGGGTGAATTTCTTAACAAAACTTGATTTATTCAGAGGTTAGTACTGGCTACTTTCAGTAGAAGGGGACAGGTGATGTACAGAAAGACATTCATATTTTTCAATGATGTTTCTGTGCTTCTATAAATCCATGTGAAATGTTACTCAGGTCTGTCTCTTCCTTTACTCCTCCCTTTTCACAGATGCAAGTTCAAACTGTGTCTCCTCTGTAGAACTTGCATTCCTCTGTGTCCTGCTTCTGTGCCTTTTAAATGTAGCAATTGCCCTTACAAGCTATTTTTGAGACTATGAGCTAGAAGCAAGATAACCAGTTTTGCACTACTGATATAGTAAATCTTGTGTGTGTGAGGGCAGTAGCAGTAGTTGGAACAAAGCAGTGTTTGAAGCATGACAGCTGGAGGTCTAGAATAAAAGGGCAACTTATTTTTGTTAAAAACAAAATGTGTAGAAATTGTTTGTTCTTTATGTCCCTAACCCAAAAGGTTGATGGCATGTTGGACTTAAAACAAACAAAATATTTCTAGCTCAGTATCCTCTACACTGCTCTCCAGGGGTTTCAAACAGAAGTCTTTTCTTGTCCTATCTGAAGATGCCTCGGATAAAACCTGGCATGTCTTGATGTTACTGCTGTATGTCTCAGCAAAAGTGTGCAGAAGTAGATGTTTGAAGAGAAGTGGGACCTTATGTGTCTTGCCGTAAAAGTGAACCATTTGCAGACACCATGAGGCACATGTATTTTTGCAAGTGAGTAGCTCTATGTCCGGTGAGCTGCAGCCCTACACTCCTGTTGCAACACAGCGGTGGTCATTTTTGGCAAGAGTGCCCCAAATGAAATTCAACATACAGTGGTACCTCTGGTTGCGAACGGGATCCGTTCCGGAGCCTCGTTCGCAACCTGAGCAGAACGCAACCTGCATGTGCGCGGGTCGCGATTCACCGCTTCTGCACATGCACATGATGTCATTTTGAGCATCTGCGTGAGCGGCGAAACCCGGAAGCAACCCATTCCAGTACTTCCAGGTTGCCGTGGGACACAACCTGAAAAGATTTAACCTGAAGCGTCTTTAACCCGAGATATGACTGTAATGTGACTGGACAGCACCCCATTCAGTTTGTGTAGCCCTCCATGCTTTGGGGTGACTTTACCTTTATTTGCTGGCCTGCTCAGCACTGGATAAGGCAAGAGCTGCATGTTGAAAAGCTCTCTTACTCTGCTGCAACTGGAACAAGTGATGCAATATTGCATAATCTGAAATGTAAATTAAGTGCCCAGGGCAAAGAGTATGGATTTTCCACCAATAAATTTGCATTTCCACCAGGAATTGTGATAATGCAGACATTTATGGTAGAAAGCTGCAGTGCTGAGTTCACTAACTATAGAGTCTGGTTCACTGAAAGCAGGAAGGCCTGTCTTACTGATGCTTAGGACTGTACCACGTGGACTTTGAGGACAGTGTGTTATTGAACCATCTTTGTTCTCTGGGACTGGGTAGCCACTTCCACAGCTTCATTTGCATATCTGCAGACTAAATTCTTCGAATGTGCTCTTTAAAAGACTTTTTGAAAGAGTCCCCACAGCAGGAGCTGGACTGCAGAGTCCTCAGTGTGTGCCCGGGGGAGGGGGGTTGCAGGGGTGGGTAGGAGAGAAGGTACTTCATGTGATCGTTTATTGTGAGGGGAACTAAATAATTACACAAATTCCCCTTTTGCTCCTGGTACACATCTCTGAAAACCAGGACACACATACATTAGAAGCAAAAGTGACATGCAGCCATTCACATACCTTGCTTTGCTTGTTTAACCCAGTAGGAGTATTAACACCTGAAATGCGAAAGGACTCTTGATAAGCAGACTCAAACCTTCCTTTTGGCTAAAGTGCACTTTGTGCTGTGCTTCAGATAGTGCTGACAGAGGGCAGGGTGTATGCTGCTGAATTGGAAGGCTCCGATTTAAGGCTCGGTGGGAAATGCACATTGAATTATCAGCACGTGTCAAATGTCGACGGCCTCCCTCACCTGCCCAGCTTTTTCACAAGTGACAATCGCTTAATGTGTGTGTGTGGCCTTGTCAAGTCCAGCTACAGCCAACTGAACTTCTTTGGGCTGCAGCTAAGCTCTTGAGATTTTCCATTTGATTTATGTGTTTTTCTATACCACTTTAAGTGCCATAGATTCCCTTAAGGAATCCTTAGGAACGATGGTTTTGTGTGGCACAGCAGAGAGCCTTAGTTCCAGGGAGAGAAACACTTTTTGTCCTGAGAGCCACATGCACTTCTGTGCAGCCTTCCTGGGGCAGCGTGTTGGTGGTGGGGGCCTGAAGTAGAAAATGTGTGGAGCAACAGATGCAACTTTTCCCCTTGTATGGCAGGCTATGTTCCTGCTCCACAAAAACCAACAGGCGTGTCTCTATTCAGGCAAGCGAGTGGCATCGTTGCAGTTCAAAGACACATTCCAGTCTGGCAATGTCCAGCCTGGCAAAAGCAACTTGGGCTGGGTGCCTAGGGAGAGTCCTGAGGCCTGTAAAAGGCTTGCATTTGCCTCCCGGGTCTGAGGTTTCCCCCAACCCTCTCCTGTCCTAGAACTAAACAATGCAGCAAAGAGCTGTTAAGCCTCTTTGAAGGTTTTTGCAAGAAGTATCGCATTTGTGAGTCAACACTGAACACACCTAACCCAGTTCACAGCAGGCCCTACCCACATTGCCTTTAAGAGTGCATAAACCATACAAAACATATTAATTTCTGCTCACTGATTACCCACTGAGCGCCACTGTTCTTTACCTGTCATATTCCGTTTAAAAAAAGACAGACCAGCCATGTTTTATAAACAGCAAACGCTTGTTGTTTCAAACCGCTTACAAGTTGTCAGGGAAATAAGTGCTCTCTACAAAAGAATAGTAACAAAGCTCTTGCCATGGCCGACTGACCGGCAATTGCAGGGACAGAACCCGGATATCCCTGGCCCCTGGAGCCGCCTCAGTTCCTCCGGCCAGCCCAGGGCGTAGGACACACACTCAACAACTCCTGATGGTAGCATGCAGTATTTACAGGCTGAATTCTGATAGGCGTGTACGTGGTTTTTAAAGGCAGGGAGCTGCCATCCACTGCCCAGTGAAGTGCTGGAGGAGCCTGGAGCAAGGGGCGGCGGGAGAACCGAAGGCAGGTCAGCTGGGCCTTTGGGATGGGAAGGGGGCTTGTGCATGAGATAGGAAGCAGGAAATGGTGGGGTGGGGTTGGCTCTAGCCCTATGCCTCCCTCCTCAAAACAGAATCTGTGAGTGATGCAGGTGGGCATCACTGCCAAACAGCAACGCTGGCTGGTATTTTGCCCACCCCTCCCAGACAGACTATGGAAGATCAAGGCCTCATGCAATTATAGCAGAGAACTCCAGGGAGGGTGAAGAAGAAGAATAAAAAAAATCACATTGTGGCTTTACAACTGATTGTTACCCCACCAGCTCCTCGACAGAGGAGGGGTGGATGTGCACTGAAAGGAGACGAAGAGTCTCTGTGAGGGGAAGAGGGGGTCCAATGCAAGCAGACGCCTGGACTGTGGCTCTAAGGAGACGCATTGCTCGTTCGTTACAGGCTTCTCTTCTGTGCCAGGGAAAAAGTTGAATATTATATCCCCTGGTCTCCGTAGGCTGCAACTTTTTCAACAACAGAAGGGTGGAAAGGAGTGCTTCATCTTTTCTCCACTGCCTGTTGCCAACTCAAACTTCTACTCTCCTCCCACCGAAAAACATGCTTGCTCCACCTGCCCCCTCCACCCATCTCCTGTGGATCTGGAACCCCCATCACTGGAAAAGCAACTGGGAGAGCATTTTTAGTGCAGCCAATTTGCAAATGATTGCGCAAACCTGCTGCTCCCTATCCAAAATCATACCCTCCCAAATCTTCTTTAAATATATATATCTGAAGTGCAGTAGGATTGCAACTTGCACACCTTTAACTTGGACGATCGCAGCTTTATGCACTTGGCAGCTGGCCAGCTGATATCGTACAAATTAAACGCACAAAAGGCAGAAAATGCTTTTAAGCTCTCAGACTTTCTCACTGGGTTCTAAGAAGGTCTTGTGAGATCCTGGACAGCCCCACAAGATCTCACACCGTCTCCTGAAGGTAAAATTGCTTGCGTGATGGCGTTTCCAGGGGGTTGTTTTGACAAGACACAATTTTGGCTTTATGTGCTACCCCCTGGAAATTAACCCGTGTGCAAGACATGATTCTACTATATCAGGACTTTATTACACGTTTGTGTAAAATGTGCAGTTTACCTCTCAGGTTCCTAGGAATTAGGAGGGCTTCCACTTCACAGAAGCCAAACTGGGAGAGAAGAAGAGGAAGGAATTTGGGGCAGTTCTTATGGTTACTTTGGAGCACGGCTTTGCTAATAGGGGCATCAAATCTCATGGTGCTCACAGGAGCAATGTCAGGCAAAGGCCGTGTAAGCCTCTCCTATTGGCCTTAGCCACACCTGTGAGTGATGATGTTGAAAAAACAAGCATCCCCCCTTTTCAGGAGAATATCTCGAGGTGGAAAAGCCACTGTGGGGTGGCCTCTATGACTGCATGTGGATGCTGTCTGACATTTCACAACCCATCATTCACCTCTTGGATTATGCCACATTTTCCCACTGCCATGAATGGAAGGGGAGGAAAAGACGGAAGAACTGTTTCTAGACTGCTCCTTTAAGCTACAGGTAAGGGAATCACATTGTTGAATACATATATCTCCCTGCATACAGAAACAAAACATGAAGAAGCGTCATAATCTAGCCTTCTCCACACTAATTTTCTATATGAGGGAAATTCCTTTCCAATATGTTTAACTATGCAATTCTTCTACCCCTGCAACTTGAAGTGGTTCAGCCCAGGGGACAGTTAGACCCCCCCCCCAACTGCTGCATATGGCTGTGTGTGATGCATCAAAGCACCTGCACAGTCGCCAATGCCACAAAGCTCACATGTCATGACTTCACCCACTGCAACTGCAAATCTGAAAATCTACTCACAGACCACACCCATTCCCACAGCAGACATTCGTGTTCCTCAGCAACCCCAATCATATTACTTCTGAACTGGCCTACAGCAAAGCATGAGAACGACGCCCAAGTACTTTCAGCAAAAGCCCACAATCTTGTATTTCCGCTAATAATCCATCTACTCCATCTTAGCAGGAAAACTGATCCTGGTGTTGCTCCCTGCTAAGCCTCCTTTGTCCTAACAGTAGCCCTGCTCACCTGGAGTCAGAAAAAGAGAATCACAGCCCTTTCTCCACCCCCTTTTGTGTGCACACACACGCAATTGCCTCTCTCCTGGAGATGCCCGAAGCCCAAATCCCTCCCCCAAAAACAATGGACCTGGGATGAGAAGCTACCAATGGAATTTACCCTGCAAGGACGTTATTGTGGCTCTCATTAACCCAAACAAAGGTGAGCGAGAGATTCCACCCGTCCTGGGTCTAGGAATCAGGCAGCTGTGGCTGTGTCTGGGGTTCCATGGATAGCACCTGTATACCAGGGCAGGACCTGTATACTGTGGGGCTGAGCTGGGAGGGGAGGAAGAGAGGAAGGCTTAATACCAGGCAATTGACGTGACTCGGGAGGAGAAGGAGGCCTTATCCCGTTTCCCTGGCTGCCCGGCCCAGGGAGGGTCGGGAGGTGCCCGGCCGGGAGGCCTCAGTAGCTGTCCTTAGCCCAGGGCCGGTTGCGCTGCCAGTTCCTCTCGTTGTGGTTGTGCTCTGTCTCGCGCTCCAGGAGGCGGTCCTGGGAGTCGTGGCCGTTGGTGCTGTGGAGGCCGCTGTTGTGGTTGCGGTGAGGCTGGTACAGGTCAGTGTAGGCATCCGAGTACTCTTCCTCCAGGTGCCGGGAGCTGCGCTGAGAGGCCGCCGTCCAAGTCTTGCGGGAGGCGTCGCTCGCCTCGTCCGACTGCATCAGGCTGTCGTGCTCCACCGGGGAGCGTTCGTTGCCGCGCTCGCCCAGCGAGGCCTGGTTCTGGAGTGGGGAACCGTAAAGCGGGTCACAAAAAGCACCCAAGGAGACAGCGCCATCTGGGGGCGCATAGCGCGTCTGGGCAGGACCCATGAGACAGTTACAGTCACTCACACTTAAATCCCATTGAAACAATTCAAACTAAAAATGGCAACCCTGAGCCAACGTACCAGGAAGCAATTCCCACTGGGTATGGAATTGTGTTGCATCTCGCACAGCTAGTTCCAGTGGCACTTAAGGGTGACTTATTTTATTTGGCCTGGGTTGAGGCTTCTGCCCTAACCCGCCCCCTCTCAGCAATTTTTCCCATCAGAATCAACAGTCAGAGATTATGGGACTTGCAGTCCCAACACCTGGAGGACCACAGCTGCCCGCCCCTGCCCCAATTGTTAGGTTATTTGTACCTGCAGGCCTGGAATGGCAGTCGAAGGTGTGGTGAGGTTTTGGCCGCCGGCAGCATGCGCAGGGTGGTGAGTTGCCCGCCAGTATACTTCCAGGTAGTCTGCCAGGTGTTCACAAGCATCCTCCAGCTGGTTCTCGTCCAGGATCACATCAAAGAGTTCCTTGGGGGAAAGGGATGAGGCGCAAGGGTGAGAAGAGGGAGGGAAAGGGATCAGTTCCTCAGAGACCCAGGCACAGAGAGCAGAGAAGTGGGCAGGGAGGAATATGAGGCTTGTAGTGTTGCGTGGAGAATGTAAGCAAGTACCGGGCGGCTTGGCATGGTGTATAGCAGAGGCACAGAAGTGCCACCATCAGCTCCAACCTTTAAATGTTTTCCCCCTAATTTCAGGATGAGGGACTGCAATCTTAAGGTTGTTTGTTAAATGAGGCAGGAGCACTTCTTAATTTCTAGACGAAAAAGCTCTGCAAAGGAATCTCTGCCACTTGTCCTGGAAGGATGTTCCTGAATTCTAAACACATAAGGCCAGATTCAGGTTGCTCAGGGGCGTGGGAAATGCGCTCTGCACATGCTCAAAGGCACGTTTTACCATATGAGACGACTTCACATCAGTTTCTTAAAAGACAGAGTGTGGCCATCGATGGCGAAAGCACTTGCCTGGGGTTCCTTCTGCCATTAAGAGAGGACCAGGAGGTGCCGAGTGGAGGAAGTCAAAGTTACAGGAGGCACAGAAGGAAAGTGAAGAGCCAGACAGAGCCCAGGGCAAGGCAGAGGCATGTCACACAGAGACACAGACAGACAGAGAAACTCACTGGAGGACACTGCACAAGCTTGTCAGCTGCCATCATCTGCACGTTGAGATGCTTCACTTGTGACTTCCCTCTGGACTTGATAAGCCTCTGCAGCACCTTCCAGAAAAAAATAAAATTAGAAGAGGACACAGCTACAGAGCTGGAAGGCTCCCAGCAGGCCACCTAAAGTGGGCGGGAGGGGTGCATTGGCTGAGATGACTGAGCTGTGAAGCAGAATTTACTATGAAACTATCACATGGTCTCTCTCAGCCTCCTCCCTCCACCTCTGCAGCTCCTAAAACATATGAAGCCACCGACTGGCAGAGCCATGGGGCTAGAAGAGGCAGCAGGGAAGCCCAGGCTTTCAGACAGGGAGATGCGTGGAATTGAACCAGGAACCTTCTGCATGCAGAGCAGCTGCTCTCCCACTGAGCTATGACACTTCCTGTAATCCTAAATGGTTTATGGGAGTACCATTAATCCCACACACTCCCATGGGAAGACTGCATGCTACATGGGTCACCTGACACTGACATTTTCAATGAGAAAGTTCCCGCCGTTGCCACGGCCGCCCAACAAGTGAACCTCATATGAAAAAAAAGAAAACACCAGGAAATCCAAACACACATTTCCCATGTACTATTGCTGCCGTCCCCTACAGCACGAAGCTCGACTTGGGCAACCAGCTTGGTTAAAGAGAAGACCTTCTGTGTATAGTAAAGGTAAAAGGGTTGTGCGCCGGTGTGGAAAGTGAGCCAACCTTGTGTTTTTCTTTGGCCCAGCAGCTGGAATTAGAGTGGCCAGGGACCTCCCCTGTATCTTCACATATCCAGAGTAAGAGAGCAGCAACTTTCTCTCCTCACCTGCCACCAGGAGTGGACTTTGGTAATATGGCGTCCTGTGTGAGGAGAAAATGCGGTGCCCCCACCTCAAGTTTCTTATTTTCACAATAATTCCTTTTGGTACTTTGAGTAGGTACCAGTATTAATATAGGTATATTAATGATGATGATGATAATTTTGCACCTCTCAGTTCAGCGCCCTGTGGGGGGGAAGCAGCCACACAGCCTTAAATCGAGTGCTGCTGCCACTTCACTGCCCAGTTCGCCCACTGGCACCTGTTGGGCAGCACAGCTGGATTCCTTCTCAACAACATGCAGAGTCAGAGTTGGGTTTCAAGGTAACTGGGTGCAGCGGTGGTGAATCTCTGAGTTGCAATCTGGCTGTCCTAGTGGAAACCAAACCCTGAGCTGAAACGCTAACTTTGCAAATTTGTGATTTCAGGGAGGGGGTATATATAACTCTTTTGGTAAGGTTTTAAAACAGGACTGTGGGACCTGCTGCCCTCCAAACATTGCTGGACTTCAGCTCCAGCCAGCATGCCCAATAGTCAGGGATGGGGAGAGCTTAATATTCGACATCCGTGGGGCCCAAAGCTCCTGTCCCTGTTTTGAACATGGTCCTGCCCATTCAAGAAAACGTGGGGTGGGCATAAATTAAACTAAGCAGAAACCAGCTTACCTAGTGAGCTAGGGAACAGCCTAGAGACGGGAGGAATCCATCTCCCACTGCAAAACTAGGGGATAGCAGAAAACACAGCTGGGAGAGCTGAAAGGGGCTTCAGAAAAACTGAGAATGATTCAGAGGAATCCCCTTTGTCTCTGAGGAGCCTTTTCCTCCCCTGCTTACCTTTGGGGAAGAGACCTTGACGTAGACGATGATTGGGGCCAGCGAAGTTTTGGCCAGTTGTGCTGGGTGGTTGATGGTGTCCGCATCCAACACAACCAGCTGCAGCGACTTGGCCAGTTCAAAAATTCGCTCAATCTCGCTCTGGACTTCAGCTGCGAAGGAAGCAGAAGGACAGTTGGCTGGATGCCCCTTTGAATAGGCAGGAAAGAAGGCTGTGTCTGCCTCCTTCCTCAGGCATCTCTCTGGCATCCACACACACTTGCCTCCCTTGAGTCTCACCTCCACAGCTCCTCACCACCTTTGAAACTACAGTTTTTACTGTAGGCTGGAAGAACTACTTATGGTAAGCTTCCTTCTTGTTTCTAAAAGGATTTATAATTGCCTGTTCAGGTCTCTAGACCCTAAGTATCTGGGATGTAGCATTGGTGAAAGTTTCAGTTAGGATAGCAGGATGGCAGGCTAGGTTCAGAGGACACAGCTCTGTCCTCTCATCATTTGGGCATTGTCACAGCAGTATCTACTGCCTTAGCCAGCTTCCTCACTCTGTCCAATGGCAGGGCCTTTCTCTGGGTGCAGCGCAGGGACAGGAGCTTGTGGCCCTCCAGATGATGGGAGTCAATCACATGTAATCCTAGCTGGGAGTAAGTCCGATTAAACTCAGCAGGACAGAGCTTCTGAGTAGACAAGTATAGGACTGCCCTGTAAGGGACAGGAAGCTACACTCCAGAACTTCCTTATTTCAAATCCTCCAATCTGCCAAGGACTAATCAGGTGACATTGGGAAGGTTTGCTACTTTCTCCCAGCCTTTATCTGCAATTCTATTGACCTGTCCTACAGGGGTTTTGCAAGGAGTACAAGGTAACACATCTGAAGTGTTTTGGGCATTTGAAAGCACTATATAAATGCATGGTTCATTCATTATTATATTGTCCCACTATTGCTTCTAGTCAAGCAAATTGTGCAGGGTTTTTTTATGCCATACAATGCCCTGCAAAACCTGTTTTCCAGAAGTGAAAATGAGATAAATAACTATCCCACTTAGAAACCAGTTTCTAAAAGAATAATTGTCCCTTTTCAGACTTGGTGGGTCTTTGAGATTATTATTACCCTTCCCCGCAAGCTTGGGAAATGAGCAGGAACCCATTCTGAAAATGCTGTGAGAGGTATATAAATAACAGCAGTGTGTTGCCTCCTGCAGGAAGCGGTGAAATGCAAGACACCGGGTACATTCAAGGAGAAGGAGGAGGCTGCTTCAGGTGAACTGACAGGATCCAGTTTTATAGTACAATGTCAACGTAAGGAGGGGAAAAACACCTTTAATTCTGCTAATGTTACTCATTTTTACAGGGTGACACTGAGATGCAGCCACATGACGCTTTCACACTGTGTCTGCATTCTGCGCAAGCACATTCCCACATGCGCAACTATAACTGCACAGATATCGTGCAAGAAAACAGCATTAGGGCACTTCACAGATAATCTAGCTCAGTGCCGTCTGCATTGACTGGCAGTGGCTCTCCAGGGTTTCAGACAAGCAGATACCATATTTTTCGCTCTATAGGACGCACTTTTCCCCCTCCAAAAATGAAGGGGAAATGTGTGTGCATCCTATGGAGCGAATGCAGGCTCCTTGGCTTCAGCAATAGCATCACAAAGCCTCCGAAGCGCAGAGGGAGAGCTCCTCCCACGCTCCGGAGGCTTAGCGTTGCTTTCGCTGAAGCCGCCTGAAGCCCCCGGAGCGCAGGGAACTCCCACTGTGCTCCGGGGGCTTCAGGCAGCTATCTGCAAGCCTTCGGAGCGCAGCAGGAGTTCCCGCTGTGCTTCGAAGGCTTGCAGATAGCCGCCTGAAGCCTGGAGAGCAAGAGGGGTCAGTGCACACCGATCGCTCTTGCTCTCCAGGCTTCGCTTCGCTGGAGCTTTCCCTCTCTGCGCAGCGCCCCTTCAGCGAAGCAGGAGGAAAAATGTAAGGGGCTCCATTTCTCCTGCCGCTTCGCTGAAGGGGCGCTGAGCAGAGAGGGGGAGAATTTTTTTCCCTGTTCTCCCCCTCCTATGGTCCGGTGCGTCCTATAGAGCGAAAAATACAGTAATTCTTAGCCCCACCTGGAGATGCCGGGGTTGAACCTGGAGCCTTCTGTGTGCAAAGCAGAGGCTCTACCACTGAGCTTCAGCCTGTTACCAATAGGGATACATAGAAGGTCTGGTCTCTGCCCAGGAGATTTTAAAACTGTGTTTCCCCTGTTGTGCTCAGACGAGCAATGAGAGCATGACAGCAACATATACACAAACCAAAATGATCTCCCCCCCCCCCCCAAAGTTTTAAAGTTAATAGTTTCTGCAGGCATTTCTGAATCCTTGAAGAGCGAAGCCTGTATGCTTTCAGGGAGCTTGCACCCAGGGCCCTCTGTGGATTGCGGCCTTTCAAAGCAGGACCCTGAAATCTACTGATGGGTGAGCACAAAGAAAGAGCAGGAGGTGGCTGTGAAGGAAACAGTGCTGTGAATTCTGCTTAGAAACTTGCACAATTTGCATCCAAGAGCGTTGCTTGAGACCTACCCACACCAAGAGGAAAATCTAGATGACCTTTCTCCCTGGCACACTCATTTTCTATAAGCAGGGAATCTGGGATGCAAGACCAACGAACGCCATGGCTATGCCAGACAAGCTGCTCGCCTGCCAACTCCCGTTGCCCTTATGGGACCTGCTGGGACTCACCGATACTGGACCGGGTTGTGGATCGCTCAATGATGGCCCGCTTGCCTGGGTTGTTCAGCACTGAGCGCTTGGCCAGTGACAAGTCAGCTGTGACCCGTGTGATGGAGATTCTGAAAGACAGGATGACAGGCGACAAGACCATTACCCAACACTCGCTAGTGGCACAGGAACCAGGCAACAGGTGGGGGTCGAAATTGCTCTTCATTTCAGAATAGTGCCCTACCTGCCATCAAATCTGTGCTTGAGAAAGTCAAAGAGAGCTTTCTGCATCATGTCTGTCACCTGAAAAGAAAGGACAGAGGGCAAGAGGGCAGCGGTGCTGGTCAAATGACTACCACAGCCAGGAATTTTTTTGTGACATGGGAGCTATTTTATGCTGGTACCCGCAGCACTTTTAGGAATATACGAGTATTGGCAGCTCGTCTTCCCCCCGCCCCTACCAAAAATGCACTGGCTACAGCCATATTTCAGAATGTGGGTTTGGGGCAGAGTTTTGTCCCTTCCACGTTCCCATACCTCATATCCTTTCAGGGATGGCCCCACCAGCACCACCGGCCTCATGGAGGGCACGACATCGTAAGGTGGGATGTGCTCTGTCTGTAAAAAGGAGGGTGTGTCACAAAATGGCTTTTCCCTTCCTCTGCAGCCCAGAAAGTAGGAGAAAGGAGAGCAGTAATGACAAAGTGGGGGCTCTCTCCATTTCAACCGGAAACGCATATACGCGATCCCAATGGATGATGAGATATCAGATACCACCCCTATATCCCTTTTGCTTTGCTACAATATCATATCAGTATCAACAAGCTACGAACTCCTTGCAACAGGAAATGGCCTCACCTGCTCAGCCCCAGCCCCTCTTCTCTGCCCTACACTGCCACCTCCTACTGCGCCCACAGCAGCCACCCAAACCGCTACATGTGGGCATTTTTCTGGGTGGCAGGGAGTAAAACACTGAAAGGGGAGAGCAAGCTAGTTTCTCACCAAAAAATGGGAAGAATAGAACCTTTACTCCCCCCTTTTAAATGAAAGCTGGGAATCAAGGAATTATGGCTAAACTAGGGACAGCAATTGTCCCCTCCTTCCTGTGGACACCCGGGCCACCAGCCTTCTCCTCTCACATTTTTATGCTAAGCATGGGGAGGAAGCCCAATCAAAACAGGTTAAAAAGCCTGCTGCCTTTGAATCCTGGTCTACATGGGGCAAAATGCCCCCCAGCACACATTGAGGTGGCCCTGTAAGGGGGGAAGACCCCCATCACTGCAGGCTGCTCCAGCCAAAGGCAGCTCCACCTCGAATGCCATTCTAGCATGAAATCCACTCTGTTCAAAGTTAGGTTGCATACACATGTATGTGCAAAGCACATTGGAAGCACATTCCGCGGGGGGCCCTCAAAGAATTCTGGGCACTGTAGTTTGTCAAGGATTGCTGGGAATTGTAACTCAGAGGTGAACTACAGTGCCCAGAATTCTCTGAGGGGGGAAATGTGTTTCGAATGTGGTTTAGAGGCATACTGGAAGTGCAGCCTTGGACAGGATGGCCTCATAGTTCACCCCGTCCTCCGCTTGTAGGACTGGCTAGCAGGGAAAAGACACAGCAGAGAAGAGGGTCATCCCAGCATTGAGTCCTTACCTGCTTTTGCTTCTGTTTGGCTTGTTGGGGGGAAAAGAAAATACGGGGTTGTCAACAGTGAAGTATCAGCAAATGAACAAGACTACACAGAGGACAAGGGGCCCTGCAGTTTAAGAGCTTTAATCCCTTGGGAGTTGGAACTGGGGTGGGTGGTTGACTGCCTTCCTGTTTCCCCTTCTCCCCCGGCCTCACTCTCGCAAGGCACCTCTGGCCTCACTGTTGTGGCACCCCCTGAAGCACGGCACCCAGTGTGGCACCGGTTATGCAACCCTGAAACAACCTCTGATTTGCCAAATCATGTGACAGGGCAGGGACAAAGTAAGCCTAGGCCAGGCATGGCCAAACTTGTCCCTCCAGCTGATTTGGGACTACAACTCCCATCATCCCTAGCTAACAGGACCAGTGTCAGGGATGATGGGAATTGCAGTCCCAAAACAGCTGGAAGGCCAAGTTTGGCCATCACTGGCCTAGGCCAATTTGTCTTAAAGGGATACATTTGAAGTCAGCAGTGGCTTATGCACGTATGACATTAAAAGCATTTAACATTTCGTGCTCAGGGCATTGCATCCAAATTTTGTGCTAAGGAAAGTGAAATCCAGACAAATGGATGCATTGCTGTGTTTCCCTCTTTGACTGCAATTCTCTGTTCTTTCAGCTTCGAGTGTGGTTGGCAACACTATCTATCTTTCCCCGCCTGCAGTGAGAATCCGGTGCTCTTGTTTTACTTGGCATTATTTATTTGTCGCATTTATTCGTCGCTTACTACATGTCTCAAAGCGACTTACAATGATAAAAGCGCACAATAATACAAAAGTGAAAACACACCAAAAAGCTAAAAGAAAATTACAGACTCAAAGAGCCTGTCCAGAAATTGCATAAGGACATCTCCCACTCCACCCTATTAAAAGAGAGCCCCAATGCAGGCTAGGGGAATCATCACACTGTATAAGCCCAATTCAAAGCTCAATGTCTGGATGTAGAGGAATTTTATATTTTTTTAATTATTAAATTTGTATACTACCCTTCATCCACAGATCTCAGGGCAGTTCACAACATAAAAATAAAATATAAAAGTAGAAAATACATGATAAAAACCAGAACAAGAACCAACCAACCAGTAAGTCCCCCTCTTTGCCTGGCACCTAAAAAGCTGATAGTGATGTCGCCTGGTTCATCTCTCTAGGGAGAACATTCTATGGTCAGGGATCCACTACTGAGAAGGACCATTCTCCTGTTGCTGCCCTCTACACTTCCCTCCGAGGGAGGGGCACACAAATAAGGGCCTAGCCAGAAGTCGGCAAAGATTTTAGCCACGGGCTGGTCCACCGTCCCTCAAACCTTGTGGTGGGCAGGAGAAGTGGCACCCGGTGGGGGGGAGCTGGAAGAAGAGGCGAGGGGGGCAAGTAGTCCTCCTCCCAAACCCCCAACCCCAGCCGCTGCGCTTATCTTCCCAAGGGCTGCCACCACCACTGCCGCTACTTCTCGTGGGTAGGCAGAAGGAGCTTGTCCGCTCAGCTTACTGGCCCATAGGAGCACCAGGACAGCGGCGGAGGGGAGATGAGTGGCGCGAAAGGGCTGGCTCCGGAGAGGGGCTGCTTAAAATGGCGCTCAGCCAGCTCAGCCCAGCTCCCTTCCTCCTCTAGGCAGGGCAGGGAGAAGCCAGGAGGAGGGAGGGAGGAGGCGCCACCACCGTGGTGGGGGGGGGGCGGGATGGAATGGCACGGGCAGCCCAAACAAACAGAATCCTCATGCCAATCCACGGACAGTCCGTGGTCCGGATCCTGAAGGCAATTGGGCCTGATTTGGCCCCCGGGCCTTAGTTTGCTGACCCCTGGCCTAGGCTGACAAATGCAAGGTCTGGGTAGGTTCAGGCAGAGAGAGGCAGCTCTTCCCTTTTGGCACTGCCTGTCTAACTACCCCCCCAGCAAGATCTTTTTGGTCTCTCTCTGTTTCTCAAGGGGGAGAAAGAGCTGGCATAGGTGAAATGCCTCTTCTACTACAATATCTTCAAAGGGTGTCTTTGAGCATATGCAAGGAGCCTTCCCCTTGCCACACGTGAAATTCTCAAGACAAGAAAAAATCTTTTTGGCTCCAGCAGGTGGTGCAATTTGACACTAGCATCTGGCTTCAGCACAGTATATTTAGTCAGAAATTTTTCACCTGGCAAGTACCTTCACTTTTTGGTGCCTGCTAAAAACATTCATGTTTAGGCAAGTCTACCCAAATATGTAGAATGCTGATACGTGTTTTAATCTGCTTTTAGCTTATTGTTGATTTTCATTATTTTCTGAATGTTTCAAACAGCTGTTTCAAACTGTTTATATTGATAATTTTATTGTTTTGTTCTTTTTGTAAATTTCTTTGAGGTTTTTTCCCTTACAAACAAGTAGTATATCAAATTTAAGAAATAAATAAACCAAACCAAACCAGAATTGTTTCAAACAAAAGTGTGGGTGGGTGTTTTTGCTTTGCTTTTCTGTCTGCAAAAACATGCTAAGATTTCACCAGTCGTTTTCAAGCATATCATAAGGGCTAGGATCTTGCTTCTGTGGTTTAATAAAAGCTAAGTTTCTCAGGCAGTTGCATTCGGCACTCCCACAGAAACACAGCAGACACTCAACCCTGTTTAAGGTTTTACCTAGTGATGGGGGAGGCGATCGCCTGTTGCTGATGGCGGGATTACCAGACTGCCTAATTGAGGAAGAAAAGAGAAAGTCAGTGTGGCAACTGGAGATAAATGTGGAGCTCAAGCTTGTGTGGATGTGCTTGTTCCGAATAGGAAAGCAAAGTCTGGAAGATTCAGCAGCTGCCTAAAGAAAGCATGCCCTCCCACAGTCCAGTTTTCTCAATGGAACAAGGGCCAGTGCTGTATACTGGAAGTAGCTCACAGGACCTAAGTTAGCATCTCATGTAGCTCTTCATTGATGCTGAACTTAGAATTAGCATCAGTGTCCCTGAACATGTACCGTATTTTTTGCTCTATAAGACTCACTTTTTCCCTCCTAAAAAGTAAGGGGAAATGTGTGTGCATCTTATGGAGCGAATGCAGGCTGCGCAGCTATCCCAGAAGCCAGAACAGCAAGAAGGATTTCTGCTTTCACTGTGCAGCGATCCCTCTTGCTGTTCTGGCTTCTGAGATTCAGAATATTTTTTTTCTTGTTTTCCTCCTCCAAAAACTAGGTGCGTCTTGTGGTCTGGTGCGTCTTATAGAGTGGAAAATACGGTATATTAAAAACCATGCACAGTATCACACAGTGGTTTGAGTTTAGCTACCAAAGAACTTAGATGGGGGGGGGGGAGGTACACAGTACTACTGCCAGTTTTACAACTTGCCTCCCACCACAGAAAAGCATCACACCCCTTACTGTTGCTGGTGTGCCTGACTGAGCCAGAGGTATGTGCCACCCCACCCACTGAAGACCCTCTTACCTGGCTTTCTGCTCCTGCTTCAGCCGAATGGCCTCCAGCCGCTGTGGGCTGGGGATGAAAGCGATGTCTCCCCCCTCCTTCACTAGCCGCCCGATCCACCAGTCATTGCTGTACTTCTGCAGAGACATCATGGTAGAGAGCCAAGAATTATACTTAAGGCTTCACAGATCTGGAGGGCAGTGGCGTAGCGTGGGGGGTGCAGGGGGGGCCGGCCGCACCGGGTGCAACATCTGGGGGGGGGCGCGCTCGCACTCGCAGCTCTCTGCCCCTACCTGGCTCACTCACTCTCTCTCACTGCAGTGCTGGCTGTGCGAATCCGATCCGAGCCGCTGGGTCGCCGCCCACTGTGGAGGTGGTGGGTGCCAGGCGTGCGGTGCGGAGAGAGAGCGAGGGACTATCTGGGGGAGGGACAGTGCAGCGGCCGCCCAGCGCAGCGCTGAGCGCGGGAGAGAACCACACCAGACCAGACCAGGCAGCAGCAAGAAGAAGCTGGCAGCGGCGGCAGGTTAGGGGTTAGGGGGCGCAAATTACTTGCCTTGCCCCGGGTGCTGACAACCCACGCTACGCCGCTGCTGTAGGGTCATAGACCCTTTAAAGACACCTTCCTACCATATACAGTGGTACCTCGGGTTAAGAACTTAATTCGTTCTGGAGGTCTGTTCTTAACCTGAAACTGTTCTTAACCTGAAGCACCACTTTAGCTAATGGGGCCTGCTGCTGCCGCCGCACCGCCAGAGGACGATTTCTGTTCTCATCCTGAAGCAAAGTTCTTAACCCGAGGTAATATTTCTGGGTTAGCGGAGTCTGTAACCTGAAGCGTATGTAACCTGAAGCGTCTGTAACCCGAGGTACCACTGTATAGAAAAAGAGGGAGGGAATGAGAAGTATCTCTCACTTATTAAACTACTCATGTAAACAACTGACATTAGAACTTAAATATTTTTTACTATTTTTGAATCCTCAAGATGAGTAACAATATGTTAATTTTAAAAAACCAAAAACCAAGCCAACATCTATAAATCTTGCAGTAGCTAAAGATCTGACCCTTCAGTACCAGAAGGCTATGGCCAGATTTCAAGTCACATATCAGATAGAAGAACCACTGGATATAGCAATCAGAGAATCGGCAGGATTTAATAGATGAGAAGCTAGCACTGTAGAGAAAGTGAGGAGCAGATGGGGCTCATTCACCTGGAAAGGCATCCTATCTAGGAGAAGGAAAACTGAAATTAAACCTTCGCTGCCTTGGGGGATATCTCTGGAAGAAGAAGAATGGTACCCTACACAAATCCAGAGTGAAGTTCCTAAAATGGTTGGGTGGCGCCTTGTGAGCCTCCTTCTGCCAAGCTGGTGCCGAATGTCTTGCTTTGCTTTGTGTTTGGACGACATTGGGGAGGGGGCGGTCCTTGTCATCTGTGCAGCCCAGGACCACCATACACCACCATATGCACCAGGGAGGTCACTTCGGTGCTATTAACTTCGCCCCCCAGAGGCTCACTCCATTGTCTCCCAAGTCAGATAAAAAGGTAAAGGTACCCCTGCCCGTACGGGCCAGTCTTGCCAGACTCTAGGGTTGTGCGCTCATCTCACTCTAGAGGCCAAGAGCCAGCGCTGTCCGCAGACACTTCCGGGTCACATGGCCAGCATGACAAGCTGCATCTGGCGAGCCAGCGCAGCACACGGAACGCCGTTTACCTTCCCGCTAGTAAGCGGTCCCGGGGGTGCTTTCGAACTGCTAGGTTGGCAGACGCTGGGACCGAACGACGGGAGCGCACCCCGCCGCGGGGATTCGAACCGCCAACCATGTGATCGGCAAGTCCTAGGTGCTGAGGTTTTACCCACAGCGCCACCTGCGTCCCTCCCAAGTCAGATAGATGCCAGCAAAAACAGCACTAAATTCAATAATATCCAATCTACCGGTAAATTTGGCCCATCTGGTCCAGTATCCTGTTTTCCACAGGGGCTATGTCAACTCTGATTTTGGCGCTAGTACACAATCATCAAGACTAGTAGCCATTATGCTCCATGAATTTGTCAAATTCCTTTTTAAAGCTGTCCTTTTTGACAGCCATCACTACATCTCCTGGCAGCAAATTCCATTGTTTAGCTATGCTCTGTGTGAACAGTACTGATTTTGTCTGCCCTGAATCTCCCCCGATTCAGCCTCGTACCTCCAGGAAAAAGAGGTACTACAACTGCAAGCTGTTGCTGACAACTCTTCTCCCCATCCCCATCTCCACCCAGGCCCCACCTCTTTGATGTGCAAGAAGTCTTTGGCTTCAAAGTTGATGGCAGAGTCACGCACAGGACATTCCTCATCCAGCGTCCCACAGTAGCTGACATTGGTACGAACAGCAAATGCGACCGGCTTGTTCTGAGGAGGAAAAGAAATCAGAGAGGGAGCCTGTCAGCGCCAGGTCAGATGGGACCTCGTCACTTCCCTCTCAAGAACAAATGTGCAGGATCCGTCACTCTCGGGATTATGCCCAGTTCCAAAGGGTAGCGAGGGCAGTTGATGGGGCAAGGGCCAAGGACCATGGAGTCCTCCACTGAGGAAGCTAGACAAGGAAAAGTTCCCCTTAATGAGGTTTGTTAGTTCTCTAGAAAATTCTCTAGACTGAACAAGGTTTGACTTGCTGTTGGAGTCATCTGAGGAAAGGACTGATGCTCACTCACTCTGTACATTTACACACACCTGCTCCCGCTGGTTAGAGAGCCCACTGATGGTCTCTCTTCTTGTAGGTGTTTAAAACACTTTATATGCAATCCTGGCAACAGCCCTATAAAGTAGATTCACACATTGCAGGTAAGGGGAACTTAAGGAGAGGGGGTTGTCTCATGAGTGTGGGGTGTGAAACACAGAGCAGTCAAATACAGCATTCCTAGAGTGGACATAAAAAGGGGGATGTCTGGACCAGCCAGTCGGAACTTCCTGTTTCCTCCTGGGCTGGGACAAACTTCCTCTACATGTGACCAGAGGTAGGCGTGACCTCACCTGTGCAGGTAACAAAATAGCACAGGGGATGCAGCCATCTCTCTCTCTGACTCCATTTCTCAAAGAAGCAACATCTCCTTAGCCTGAGATGCCCTCTTGGCTTCCAGACAAGAGAGGACAAAGGAACTATCTCCTTATGGGATAGATTCCACGTGTATATATCTTGTAACTTAAGTCTGACTTCTGGGATCCATCTGTGAACAGAACGTGTGAGTAAACTCTTTTATATTTTTATACAGGACTGTGTCGTATCTATTCTTTTTAAGCGGGAATAAAGGGGAATTACCAGGAAACTTATTTTAGAGGCTTATACAAGCCAGGCAAACCTATCCACTGTGAAAGTTTAAAAGGGGAATGTTACTCTGCTAAATTGTAGAACTTGTTAACACAAGTTGGGAAGGATATAATCAAACAATATATCCTCTCCTGCCTCCCTGAACATTCCCACAGTGAGTTCCTGGCTGCAGCAAGACTTGAACCGAGGGCAACTTATACTGCCATGATATCATACATGTATCACAACTAATGTAATATGGATTGTATAGAAAAGTGATTTATGAGGCCAAATCCAGTATTACATTTAACAGTCTTCAGACTCCCATGCTTCCTTCGCGCAAGTGACAAAAACAGTTGTGGGAAGCAAATTTGAGCAAGAGAATGGCAGGAGTAGGAAGGCCAAAGCAACCCCTCCCTCCCCCACTCCTCAGATCAAACCCACAGCCTCACACAGTGCTTTTTATTTGTTAAAAAAATACACAACAACCACGATCAGGAAACTATTGTCTGAATCTGCTTTGTAATATCTAGCCTGGCCCTTAGTGTAGTCATTAGCTGCAGCAACAGAACACGCAGGGCAGCCCAGATGTGCTCCCTCCCATACTGGATTGTAGCCCGTTTCTCTTTTATTCACTAATAAATACCACCCCATTGGCTTGTGTGTGTTGTGTATGATGCCTTTGGAACACACGGGTGAGGATTACATCAATTGTAATCTACAGAAAGGAGAAGAAACCGCAGTCATGGAAACCAGTGAGCAAAAGGCCAAAAATTGCTCGCTCCCCTGCTCTCTGTGGTCTTCAGAAGCCAAAATGAAGGGCAGATGTGGGGCCACCAAGAAGTCGTTGAAGAGCAGCCCACCCCCGTCATCATGGATCTTTTTGAGGTCACTGTTTGGGGGAGGGCTGAGGCGCCGTTATTCTGAAGGCAGATTGGAAATGCACTAGTCCTTTCCAGAATGTTCATGAGAAAGCAGTATGATGTTTACATAAAACTTAAAGATTATTTTCTGCTCCTTACAGTCCACCCCTCCTGGCCCAGGGCAGGGCTGGGGAATCTATGGCTCCTCAGATGTTGTCTTGGACTCCCACTCCCATCAGTCCCAGCCGGCATGGCCAGTGGTTGGAGACGATGGGACTTGTGGTACCAAAATATATGGGAGGCCACAGGTTGCCTCTCTGCATTCAGAGCTGCTGGGGACCAAGGGAAGCTGTTTCATGGACAAAGAGGTCCTCACCCAACATCTGCTTAGCTGAAACCAAGGCTGGCGTACCCTCCCCTGCCAGTACCTTGGCTTTCTCGAGTTGCTGCTGAGCCTGGTTCTCCACTTGGCGCTTCACCCCCTCGCGCTCCTCCTCGAGCGACACGTCGGAGTCCAGCGATGGGCGGCTGGTGTACGAATCAGCGGAGCCCTGAGGAGAAGGTTCAAAGCTCGAGTGAGGTGAGGGTTTTGGCCATACTGGAAGTCAGGATGCAGCCTGATTTGAGGAGGCCTGCCAGAGCTTCTCTCCCAGATGGGACTTTTCTTTCTGTAATGGCCGCTGAAAGGAGAGGTACCTCAGCCGCACAGTTTCACGCTGAATTCTGATAACCTGTGCATTTGGACTCCACGCACTTTTAGGCTGAGAGCCTTGCAAGTTGCTAAGCTCGGCAGGGGTGGATCTGATGTGTGGCTGGATGGGAGACCAGATGGGAAACCACATGCATCTGTCCTCCAATTCCATGATGGAAGAAAGAGAGGATAAAAAACGTATTAACCTCTCCCCCACCCCTGTGATGTTTGAGGTTTCCCTGGCAGGGTCAATACAATGGACCAGCCATATCGGAAACTATAGTGCTAAACTATAGTGCCTTAAGGCACTATTCTGTTCAAGGTGTAATATAGCCTATAGTCCAGCCTTCGCCAAAATGATGCCCAGCAGATGTTTTGGACTAGGACTCCATCAGCCCCAGCCAGCGCGGCCGTGACCCCATCAGCTCCAGGATCAAACAGTGGGGCTGATGGGAGTCATAGTCCAAAAGATCTGGAAAGTAGCAGGCTGGAGGAAGGCAGGTACGATTGGGAGCTGCTTTACAACACCAATGGTGGAGATGTTAAATCAGAATTCTTAAAGCTTGTTCCTCAGCTAACATTTCCTCAGAAGTATATAAGACTGCAGCCTTAATATTCAAATTAGATACCCTCCAACAGCTCTCCGGAAAAAGAGGACACTCGTGTATAATTACAGCACCCTTGTCTTTGAACTAAAAATCACTGCCAGAAGGCTACCCGCTTCCCCACACCCCAATACACACACACTATTATACACTGCTGAAGGCTCTTAGCTGTATGCTATATTTATTTCCTGTGCAATCACCTGCTTTGTGCTGGTTTTGGATGAAAGCTTATTAGTAAAGCCAAAAAAAATTAAAAATCTCCTTTTTTAAAACAGCAACCTAAACAATATTTTATAGCATTTATTTTCACAAGATATATAGTCAGACTTGTGGAACAGCTGCAACTCAGATGCATTCAAGGAAATGTTCGCAGCATGGCTGAGGTGCAAAGGAAGCTTGTGCACTGTGCAAGAACCCGAACATGGCTTGTGGGGAATTTCTTTAGATCCCCAAATCTCCCCAAAGGCAAAATGCAGGCAGCCAAGGTACCAGGGACAAGTAAATAGGGAAAGCTGGAGCATATAAGGGGAAGTAGTAGAGCATCTGCTTTGTGGGTTCAATCCCATCATCTCCAAGTAGGGATGGCAGATAACCCTGGTGACATCTTAAAGAGCCACTGCCAGTCAGTGCAGTACTGAGTTGGTGGAATAGTGGTCTTTCTCAGCATAAGGCTGTTTCCTACGTCCCAAAGTCAGAGCAAGTTCTGTTCTAGTATAGAATAGCTCAGTGGTCCGGGTGGCAGCTGTGTTGTTTACTTTGCACCAGGACTGCTCCTATACGTTCACAAGAACTGCTGTGATAGCTCAGTCAGTAGAGCATGAGACTCTTAATCTCAGGATCGTGGGTCCGAGCCCCAGGTTGAGCCAAAGATTCCTTCATTGCAGATGGTTGGACCAGATGACCCTCAGAGGTCCCGTCCAACTCAATAGGTGAACCTTTTCCCACCATGCACCTTGATCCCAGGAAACCACCAACTCTACATGTTTGGGTATCCGACTGTCCTTAAAGGTACAGGAGCAGGGCCCACCACAAAAAGATGGCAAAAGTCCCTCATTCCTCAGGCCCTTCTCTCCTCAGTCACATATTCACTAAGTCAGCTTTTGCCAACCTAGCACCCTCAAGACCGGTGAAACCTGCTCCCCCCCCCCCCATCTGCAATATGAGGACAATAATACTGGCATCCCCTACAGGGCTGTTATTGTAAGAATTTCTCAGAGAAGCCCTTAGAAACCAGACACATGCTACATAAATGCTAAATTATATCATTGGTGCTGTTGGTATTTATTGGTTTGCCTAAAATCTTATTCCTATGGCAGCCAAGCTCTCCTTTCCCATTTCTCCACTGCACTTCATACCATATATTTTATCTTCCTTCCTTCAAATCCCTCCTCAAATCCTACTTTCCCCTTAGGAAACCCAGATGAGTCCCCATTTCTAGCTTCAATCACATCAGTTGCCTTTGCCCACATCCCTTCCTTGCTCCCACTTCTCTCTGCCTTGTCTTATCTTCTCCTTGGCTGGTTTTCACGCGCAAATTCCTTGAGGGAAGGGGCCTGCCTATATCAGCTTAACAAATTCTGTGCATACAATACTGAACAAGAAAAGGCTGCCGGAGGTGTTGCTGCCCCACCATCCCGCCAAACAGCTTACAATCTAAGCAAGGTGGGAATTCAGAGAAGGAAAACAGAGGGGGTTCAGGTAAAGAAGGGATGAGGATGCGACCTGGGCGGCCACTGACAACCTGACTGCTTTGTCTTTAAAGGTGGAGATGGGGTTTCTCAGTCTGTCTAACAAGTGACACACCGACAGCAATGTCACTAGGGAAGCATCTGGGAATGCCATCCTATTAGAAGTCAAAAACAGCCGCCACCATTATTAATGCCCAGTATACCTGAAGGAGCATCTCCACCCCCATTGTTCTGCCCAGACACCGAGTTCCAGCGCTGAGGGCCTTTTGGCGGTTCCCTCGCTGTGAGAAGCAAAGCTACAGGGAACCAGGCAGAGGGCCTTCTCGGTAGTGGCACCCGCCCTGTGGAACGCCCTCCCACCAGATGTCAAAGAGATAAACAACTACGTATCTAACATTTAGAAGACATCTGAAGGCAGCCCTGTTTAGGGAAGCTTTGAATGTGTGACATTTTAATGTATTTTTAATCTTTGTTGGAAGCCGCCCAGAGTGGCTGGAGAAACCCAGCCAGATGGGCGGGGTACAAATAATAAATTATTATTAATACTGCGTATTTGAAATGTCCCAACAGTTTGTGTACATTATGCCAGCAATCCTCCACAACAGCCCTGTAAGGTGGGCCATAAGTGGAGCATCAGCTCTGGGTATAAAAAGATGGATCAGTTGGCGACTCTGAAAGATTCCAAGAAGGTCTCATCAGCACAGTTCAAAGGGCTACATCAGTGTAGGAAACCTGGGGCCGTCCAATTGCTGTTGGACTCAAGGTTCCCCATCACTTGACTAGACCAAACCTCTCTCAAGTCCCCACCACCCTCTGCTACATTAAATGTGGTGTGTGTGTGTGTGTGTGTGTGTGTGATGTCACAGTTGCACCGGAGAAGGGGGAGTTGTGACACAAGCAGGGAAGCTTCTAATAAGTGAAGCTCCATTTCCCAAAATTCTCCTTTCTGCCCAGCAATGTAAGAGATGCAGAAATTCCCCCTCCCTTAAAAAATGGGAATCTGAAAGTCCTGGCCGCCTCCCCCATTAACTTTAAAAGAAAAGAGGTAGTTCATCCGTGGGGTTTGCACTTTTAATCCCCCTTCCGCTTCAGTTTTCACAGATTAATAGTAGGCATGTCTACTCAGAAGCAAACCCTGTCGAATTCAATAGGGCTTACTCCCAGGAAAGTGAAACTAGGGCTGCAACCTAAGCTGCAAGGAAAACATAGCAGCAGCCTATGCCAGGTTTTGGCGCCAACTGCTTCCAGAAGGATACCTTACACCAGGGGTAGGCAACCTAAGGTACATGGACCGGATCCGGCCCAATCGCCTTCTCAGTCCGGCCCACGGATGGTCCGGGAATCAGCATGTTTTTACATGGGCAGAATGTGTGCTTTTATTTAAAATGCATCTCTGGGTTATTTGTGGGGCATAGGAATTCGTTCTTTTTTCTTCTTCCAAAATTTAGTCCAGCCCCCCACAAGGACTGAGGGACAGTGGACCGGCCCACGGCTGAAAAAGGTTGCTGACCCCTGCCTTACACACATAAAATGTGTATTTATTATTTTGGTATTTTACAATATTGTAAAATACGCAATGAGTCAGTGTGTCTGGCTGTAAACCAGAAGGCTGGTGGTTCGAGCCCACCCAGGGATGGCTGGGGGCAGGATCCATGCATTGCAGGGGGTGGAATAGATGACTCTTGGAGGTCCTTCCAACTCTGCAATTCCATAGTTAAAGCTATGGTTTTCCCAGTAGTGAAGTATGGAAGTGAGAGCTGGACCATAAAGAAGGCTGATCGCTGAAGAATTGATGCTTTTGAATTCTGGTGCTGGAGGAGACTCTGGAGAGTCCCATGGACTGCAAGAAGATCAAACCTCTCCATTCTGAAGGAAATCAGCCCTGAGTGCTCACTGGAAGGACAGATCCTGAAGCTGAGGCTCCAAGACTTTGGCCACCTCATGAGAAGAGAAGACTCCCTGGAAAAGACCCTGATGTTGGGAAAGATGGAGGGCACAAGGAGAAGGGGACGATGGAGGACGAGATGGTTGGACAGTGTTCTCTACAAACATGAGTCTGACCAAACTGTGGGAGGCAGTGGAAGACAGGAGTGCCTGGCGTGCTCTGGTCCAGGGGGTCACGAAGAGTCGGACATGACTAAACGACTAAACAACAACAACATGAACACCTAAGTGTGACTCTCTAAGATTCCAGTGGGAGGAGGAGGAGGATGGGTACCCCCTCACCTCTCCCGGAAGCCATTTTCTCTGCCCTCCCTTCCCACGCCCAACAGCGTGGCACCAAAAATGCCAGGGAAAAACCGCCATGCTGAACCAGCGCAGGGGCAGATCAGGAGCCTCCGATCTTCCCTCGTCTCGACTTCGGGGAAGGTGGCGTCCCTCCCTGGGGAAGGAGCGACAGAGGGAGGCGGAGAGGGAGAAGGCAATTGGGAGCTAGCACCACGGCAACGCGCAACGCCACGGGGAGGTGGCAGCACGAGGGCCTGTGTGAACGCAGGAGAAGGAGCGAAGCCGGGCACGGGCTAGGGCGATGGAGGAGGAGTGGGGCACCGCTTTAAAAACACGCCGCGCTGGCTGGCTCAGAGCTGCTGCTGCGCGCCCAACCCCTTCGTTAAAGGATGCGCACCAATCGCCCACGCGTGTCTCTGCCTGTAGATTCCACAGGGAGCTGCCACCACCAGGCGTGTGTCCCCCGTCGCGCGTCCACACGGCCCAAGAGGCACGTGGCAGAAGCCGCGCGCAAGAGGGGCCCGCGACGGAGCTTAGATCTCGCGTGGAAGTGGGGGTCTCTGGTGCAAACGGGAAAGGAGCCTTTGCGTCTAGGCGCCCCCGCCTCCGGCCCCCGTGTTCAGCCTTCAGACCCTCTCCTCTCCTGCCCGCCCCACACGTGTAGGACGCGTGCGTTTCTGCTGGCTGGAGCTCGGCGGCCCACGGCTCTTCCGCAACGCGGGAGTCTGGAAAGGCGCGCGTGGGTGAGAGAGAAGATGCTTCTTCGCGCATCCTCGATGCCCTTCCTGTTCCCGAGCTTCGCGTTGCAGTGAACCGCCTGCGATGTAGATAAACTGGGGAGGGGAATCGGGCCTGCGAAGCACAGGGGGATCCAAAGGGGCTTCGTTTCCCAAGGTTAATTGACAAAAGGACACACGCATCTGCCTTGAAATCTTTCCCCAAAAAGCCAAAGGGGGGGGGGTGAAAAGGCATTTGACATTTTGCACATGCGTGTTGGCGCTCTTCTTCCACCCCAGCCCCTACTTTGGAATGGGTTTTCATTTGCTTGAGAATAATGGTGTGGTTAGTGATGTATGGAAGTGAGAGCTGGACCATAAAGAAGGCTGATGGCCGAAGAATTGATGCTTTTGAATTCTGGTGCTGGAGGAGACTCTTGAGAGTCCCATGGACTGCAAGAAGATCAAACCTCTCTATTCTTAAGGAAATCAGCCCTGAGTGCTCACTGGAAGGACAGATCCTGAAGCTGAGACTCCAAGACTTTGGCCACCTCACGAGAAGAGAAGACTCCCTGGAAAAGACCCTGATGTTGGGAAAGATGGAGGGCACAAGGAGAAGGGGACGACAGAGGATGAGATGGTTGGACAGTGTTCTCGAAGCTACTAACATGAGTTTGACCAAACTGTGGGAGGCAGTGGAAGACAGGAGTGCCTGGCGTGCTCTGGTCCAGGGGGTCACGAAGAGTCGGACACGACTAAACGACTAAATAACAACAAAACGGTGTGGTGCAAGGACAAAAGGCTGACTTACAACTCCAGTTGTGCCAAGTTCAAATTTCACCTCTGCTGTGAATTCACTCGGTGGCCGAAGGCAAGCCTCTTCCTGTCGGCTTTAGGTCATGGGGATAGTAATCCTGGCCTACCTTACAAGGTTGTTGTGCACTGGGATGTGAAGCACTTTAAAACACTCGAAAGTGCTCTACGTGGCTAAGCAGGAAACTCAGCACCAGACTGGGAAACAATGTTAAATTAACATGGGAGAGTGCTGATGAAGAGAAGAAATGGAAATCAGTAATTTAGATGGGTTTTCTGAAGTACATTCAGGTCAGCTACATTTTGGATTATGTTTCTTGTGTACAGTTGGCCAGTTTAAATGGGGGGCGGGGAGAGAGAGAGATAGCACAAGGTTTTTGAGAGCCTCTTTCATATTCTTGCTTCCTACGAGTAACTTTCAGAACTGGTGACTGAGTCTGCTTTTTTCATCCTCCCTCTCCCTCCCCTTTTCCTTTTGTGTCGTGTGTTTCAGATTATTTGCCTAATAACACAGTGTTATTTTTTTATTGCTCTAGGGACCTTTTCAGCTGAATATCAGGGTAAAAAGGCTTTAAATAAATAAATAAACACCAAATTAAATGCAAATGCTTTGACAGCTTCAATCCACAGAACTGGCATTGTTCTGCACTTGTAAGAAATCCATCTTTTAGTGTGGCAGCACCTGCAACCTGGAACTCCCTGCCTATTGACACCAGGCAAGTGCCTTCACTTTTCAGCACCTGCTTAAAACGTATTTTGTTTAGGTAAGCCTATCCAAACATGTAAAAGTTACATGTGTTTTATTTCTTTTTCATTACAGTGGTACCTTGGGTTACATATGCTTCAGGTTACATACGCTTCAGTTTACAGACTCCGCTAACCCAGAAATAGTGCTTCAGGTTAAGAACTTTGCTTCAGAATGAGAACAGAAATCGTGCTCCGGCGGCGTGGCAGCAGCAGGAGGCCCCATTAGCTAAAGCGGTGCTTCAGGTTAAGAACAGTTTCAGGTTAAGTACAGACCTCCGGAACGAATTAAGCACTTAACCCGAGGTACCACTGTATTGTTGGATTTAACCATCTTTTGAATTTTTTTAAATACCTGTGTTTAACTCAAATTGTCATGCTTTATTTTATATTTTTGTAAACCACTTCAACATTTTCTTACAATAAGGCAGTGTATAATTTTGTTAAATAAAATAAAATAAATGAAATGTCAAATGCATACCATATTGATATGTCACCTTCTGCTAGTACAGTATAATAAATGCATTTTGATTTCTCAATACAGGTTCAAATTCAAGCATCTACAGCATATTTACAATGACTGTCAGACTGGTGCCAGACACTGCTCATTTCAAAAACTCATGAGCAAACCCCCAGTAATCTAGCACTTATTAAACCATTATTGTTATTTCCTTACTTTTAAGAAGACTGGTTAATGTTATGGATTTCCCTGTCTTTTTTATTACATGTCCCAAGACAATATTATTATACTGTATTCAAAAATAGTTTTAGGCCTAAACCCTGACTCAAATTAAGCCCTTTCATGTCCCTTTCCCAAAGCAGGTACGGTAATTTAGAGGATTCAGCGTGTTTTACAGGGCTCGCTTTATCACTAGATGGAATCCTTTGCAAGGAATGAGGTCTAGCATTGCATCTGGGGCATCAAGAGATGGAAATACCTTTTCCCTTCCCAGTTATACCTGGAACTCATACCTTTGCCATTCACTGGCACAACTCAAGCAAAGCAAGGCAAGGGTGTGGCAAACTCTGTGGTCCTCCAGAAATTGCTGGACCTCAGTTCCCATCAGCCCCAACCGGCTTGGCCAATGGTCAGGGATGAAGGGAATTGTAGTCCAACACCATCTCTCCGCTGTTGGTCTAAAGCCACGTGATGCAGCAACCTCACAGTGAAGCTAAGCAAACCTGGAGCTGGACACGCACAGTGGGCCAGTGAGTCTGGTTAACCAGAAGGTTGGTGGTTCAAGGCCACCCAGAGATAGTTGTGGGCAGGATAGCTGCATTGCAGGGATTGGACTAGATGCCGTTTGGGGTCTCTTCCAACTCTATGATTCTATGAGACCATCTAGGAGCCCCACTTATGCCATCTTGAGATCCACTCTGGAAGAAAGGTGGAACATAAGTGCAATGAATAAAATGAAGCAGGGAGTGGGCCAGTTTCCAAAGGTGAGGCGGGAAAAGGTAAACAGCATTTGAACATCCAGAGGAGAGATCTGGGCAAGACTTGTTCAAAGACAAGGATGTGATGGGGCCCATCAAGGACGTCTAGAAGAGCTGACTAGTGGGGAGCAGGGATACATATGGCAGCTTGTTGTGATGCTACTGGGATACACTGCTAAGCAAGAGGAGCTCCAGAAGCGAATGAGGGAACAGAGTGCATAGCAAATTTGCATCAGCTAGCTCGGTTAACAAAAGCGGGCCATGGCAGCAGGAACAAAAGCTGTAAATGCACCCTTTCAGATTTAACAAAGAGAGCAGAAAGTCCAAAGTGATCAGATGCTACTGCTAGCGAAAAGGGGTTATTACAACCTGCTCTTCTTCTTGCGTTTCATCCACCCTGACACAGAACATTTTGGGCTACAGGAAGACTCCAAAGCTGTGGTCTGTGTACCCACTCTGAAGCCCATAAGAGATTATCACGAGCTGAAGGAGTTTCAGATTCAAAGCCCCATTTTGCACTGGCATCAGATCAGTGATAATAGGACACTGTAATTGCTGTTCCAAGCATCCAGAATGTGATTTTCAGTCTCCAGTAAGGGGGGGCGCTTCAAACTAGGACTGCCTGAGCAGCAAATGCACAGTTGTGTGCAAATGGATATGATGGAGCCCTCAGAGCTTCTGTTCTGCTTCACTAAATTAAAGCAGCTTCAGGTATACCTGAAGGAGCTTCTCCACCCTCATCGCTTAGCTCAGACACTGAGGTCCTTCTTCAAGGGTCTTCTGCTGGTTACATCACTGCAAGAAGTGAAGTTACAGGGAACCAGGCAGAGGGCCTTCTCGGCAGTAGCGCCCTCCCTGTGGAACATCCTCCCTTCAGATGTCAAGGAGATAAACAATTACACACCTTTTAGAAGGTGTTTTATTATGTTCTTAGATATGCTGTAAGCCACGCAGAGTGGCTGGGGAAACCCAGCCAGATGGGTGGGGTATAAATAACAATATTATTATTATTATTATTATTATTATTATTATCATCATCATCATCATCATCATCTCCACTTTTGAGTTGCAGAAACAGTGGTGAGGGGCTGCTTAAGCTGTTCCCCATGTTCCCCTTTACTCCTGGGGGGCATGATTTTGAGCAGGAAAATGACTGGTGATGAAAGGGTTAATCAGCCCCTCCTGCTGCTGTTCTCCCCCACAAAACTGCAGCTTCCCCAAACCTCATTTCATTTATTTAAAAACTCAGGAAATTGCCACATACATTTGCATGTGCCATGTGCCTGGACAGCTTAAAAACCAACAATTTGTAAAGGTATTCAAGGAATACTTTTTGGGCTTCTAGTGTGTCGATGTTTCCTTTGGGACTTTTATCTGCCTGTGTGCTTTATAATGCTTGCTCAGCCTATCCGTGCATAAATGCAGCATGATGAAGAGGCTGTTAAGTCTCCAATGCTCTCTCCTCCAATGCTCTCTCCTCCAAAGAAAATGGACCTTGTAAAGCCGGGTCCTCCAAATGTTGCTGGACTACAACTCCCATCAACCCCTGCCAGCACAGACAAGGGTCAGAGATGATGGGAACTGTAGTCCAAAGCAACCCAGAGGGCCACAAATTCCCTATCCTTGTGCAAAGGTTGCTTTATGAAACTCTGACTGCCTGGGAAAGGAGAGGGAGTGGGGGGGAGTGAAACAAGACATGAAAAACATCTATTATGTTTCGATTCACATTCAGTAAGACTCACTGAAATTAATAACCATGAAAAAGTTGGGTCCATTAATTTCTAGTACAGTACTCTGAGGAAAACTTAGTTGAACACAACCCAAGGCGTAGAGAAACAAGCCTCCATTCTCCTGATATCTGAACCTCTACATTGGCCTGGGAAAGGACAGGATGGAATACCAGAGGGAGAGGAGTGACTCTAGAGCAGCGGTTCTCAACCTGTGGGTCCCCAGATGTTGTTGGACTACAACTCCCATCATCCCTGAGCTCTGGCCTTGCTAGCTAGGGGTGATGGGAGTTGTAGTTCAACAACATCTGGGGACCCACAGGTTGAGAACCACTGCTCTAGAGTCTAGAAACAGCAGGGTGATATTTTGTGCTTCATCAATCACAGCTAAAGCGAAACAAAACAGCTGTGCTAGATCCTAGTCAGAATTCTTGCCCGTTGCCCTGGATGCCAGTCATCCTAATGTTGGGTCAAATGCATCCAAAGCGTATATTTTAATCAGTGGCGAGAGAAAGGCACATTGCATGTGGCTAAGAAACGTGTCTCCTTCATTCACCACTACCTTAAGATCCCCTACTCTGGAGTCCTTGCCCAAAGTAAGCCTTAGAGCGGAGGCTCTGAAATTGGGATCCATGGATCTCTGGTGACCTGCAAGCTCCATTCAGGCAGTCCACAAAAATATTGCAAAACAATCACAAATCTCTCTACTGGCCTCGACCAGAGCCAGAGCCTTTCCAGCCCTGGCCCCAGTCTGGTGGAAAGCTCTGTCACCAGAGACCAGGGCCCTGTGGGATTCTTTCCGCAGGGCCTGCAAGACAGAGCTGTTCCGCCAGGCCCTTGGTCCGGGCCCAGTCTGACCCTATGGGACCAGCATGGGTGAGCGGGCCTGATGAACTTTTAATTCTTTACCCCTACGGTTATGATTCATGGGTTCCCACTTAATTTTATTTTGATTTTAAATACGATTTGAATTGTATTTTAAACTAATCATTTGATTTTGTTTTTTCAGTGTACTTTATATATTTGGTGTTAGCCACCCTGAGCCCAGTCTCGGTCGGGGAGGGCGGGGTATGAATAATTATTTTTATTTTTATTGTGTTTCTTCACAATGGATTTCGCCCCTTAAAACTGACCCATAAAAGTGGCCCTCCTCAACAATCTGGCCTAGGCCAAACAATTTGTATAAAGCAGCACTGGTTCTGAAGCAGAGGCTGAATGGGGAGAAAGTTTATGAAGTGATCCAACAGTTTTGAGAACTGTTGCCTAAGAGAGCAAGGGGTGGGCAGCTTGTGCCCCGCTCAAGCCAATGCTGCTGGGCTCCAGCTTCCAGCAGCCCCAGCCAGCATGGCCCAGTGGTCAGGGATGATGGGAGTTGTAGTCCTAAGATTTGGAGGGGCTTCCCACTTTACTGATACCCAAAAGATGAGCGCCTATGTACATGGCATTCTCCAGACAGGCTGAAAGGAACTGGACTTGGAGGCACAAAATGGAAAATCCTTAAAATGTCACCCTCTCTGCTATGGCGGAAGAGAGAGAGGCACTTTCTGGCCCAATCTGTGTTGTCACAGCTGCAACCACAGTCCCCCCCTGAGAGGAGGATGAATCTCGGCCAAAGAGCTTAAGATCCAAGCTGTCAGCGAGCAACAGTCCCTCGCTCCCTCTCCTCTCCTCTCCCCAACGAAAAGCTCCACCACTTCACCCAGCTCCCTTCTCAGTCTGCCTTTCCTTTTTGCAAAGGGGGGGGGGGACACCCGTAGATCCCTCGTTTTAAAGGAGAATGGGAAGGGAGAGGGCTTGTACTGTCAACTTGCTACTCCTACACCAAGGAAGGGCACAAGAAGGTGAGAAGGAAGAGGACCAGTGCAGTGCCTTCCAGATACTGCCAGACTGCAACACCCATAGTGGGAATTATGGGAGTTGGAGTCCAACAACATACAGAAAGTGCCACAATGACAATCCCTGGTACTCTGCCTCTCAGACACCAGAGCCTTAAACAACCCAGGCCACCAAATATCTGAAAGATTTCCTCTTTCCCTACAGACCCTCCCAGGTGTTAAGGTCTGCAGAGAGAACTGTCTTGGTAGTTCTCCCTCCCTTGGGAATTGGGGTGTGTGTCTGTGGCTTGGGATAAGGCATTCTCTGTGACAGCCCCTAGGTCAGGGGTCAGCAACCCTTTTCAGCCGTGGGCCGGTCCATCGTCCCTCAGACCATGTGGTGGGCCAGACTATATTTTGGAAAAAAATATTAACAAATTCCTATGCCCCACAAATAACCCAGAGATGCATTTTAAATAAAAGGACACATTCTACTCATGTAAAAACACGCTGATTCCCGGACCATCAGTGGGCCGGATTTAGAAGGTGATTGGGCAGCATCCAGCCCACGGGCCTTAGGTTGCCTACCCCTGCCCTAGGTTGTGGCATTCCCTCCCCACCCCCAGTCTGACCTCCTCCCTTTACAGCTTTCAGAGAATGCTGAGTCCGCCCCTCTTCACCCTGGCCTGCGACATCAGAAATGTGTGTTTTCACAACACACCTGATCCTTGTGACAGTAATTTGTTTTTAATTCTGAATTTTAAACTTGAACAATAAATTTGTTGATGATGAGCTAAATAAGAAACCAGCCCATCTTCTGCTCCCTTTCCAGACCGTTGAATCAGATTACCATTACAAGGACTGGAGGATTCAGAATAGCCTGAAGACCAAAGCTGGCTATTGTCTGGACCCCCCTTTCTCCTCTCCCTTTGCCGCCAATTCAGCTCCAGTTCAGCCTTGCTGTCCACCCCATTCCTACCTTGCCCTTTGAAAACCAGAGTTAGCATGTTGTGTAGTCATTAAGAGCACCAGTCTGGAACGGGAGATAGGTAAAGGTAAAGGGACCCCTGACCATTAGGTCCAGTCGTGGCCGACTCTGGGGTTGCGGCGCTCATCTCGCTTTATTGGCTGAGGGAGCCGGCATACAGCTTCCGGGTCATGTGGCCAGCATGACTAAGCCACTTCTGGCGAACCAGAGCAGCGCACGGAAACGCCGTTTACCTTCCCGCCGGAGTGGTACCTATTTATCTACTTGCCCTTTGACGTGCTTTCGAATTGCTAGGTTGGCAGGAGCAGGGACCCAGCAACAGGAGCTCACCCTGTCGTGGGGATTCAAACCACTGACCTTCTGATCAGCAAGTCCTAGGCTCTGTGGTTTAACCCACAGCGCCACCCGCATTCAAATCACTATTCAGCCACATTGAGATCACGAGGAAACCTTGGGTTCAGTCACTCTCTCTCAGCCTAACTCACCTCACAGGGTTCTTGTGAGGATGCACTGCAGGGAAGGAGAACCATGTATGCCAACCTGATCTTGAGAAAGTCAGATTACAAGTGTAACACAGGAACATAGGAAGCTGCCTTATACAGAGTCTCTTGGGCAGGGGCTCTCCAGGGTTTCAGACAGGGGACAATCTCAGTCCTCTCTGGAGATGCCAGGGATTGAACCCACGACCTTTTGCATGCAAAACAGATGCTCTGCCACTGAGCCAAATTGGTCCCCCGCCCCTGCAAAAATAAATGTAAATAATCCAGCTCCCATAAACCAAGAAGTAAGATTGGAGATGGTATGAACCAGGAGCCAGGATTTCTGGGCACAACTTGATTCTGGTTCCCAGGAATTCAGAATGCTGAAAGTGCGAAGGCCTCTAATAACTCGCAGCCCTAGGCTACCACCCGCAATTCTGCACCTTCACTCTCCTCCCCTCCCTCTGCATATGGAGTGTGATCAACAGACACTGAGAAGAAAAAAATACTTTGCAACAGTCTTTAAAAAGTGCTTTTATGACTTAGGTAAGAGGTGCTAGAAATGGAGGCGGGAGGAGAGGTGAGCATCTCGCACTTACAGCATGCAGCGTCTCTCTTCTCTCCCCCCCCCCCAGCTCAGGCAGACACTAGGAAATGCCAGCCCCCTCCCCCCTCCAAAGCCCAGTTCCGTCATGTCAGCTGATCATCCACCTCCTCCTGCCGACACCCACCCACACATTTCAAAGCGGAGCAGCTGTGCCTGCTGTGGATGCCTAACCCCAACCAAGTGGGCAGGAAGCCCAAGGAGTGGGCATGATAAAAATTGTGCTGGCATCACACAGGGGAGCCCCCACACCTGACTTATAATTGATGGGCTCCTACAGAGGTTGACAAAGAGGCTTGTTCCAGACCTGCTGAACTAGCCTACTGGGTGGAGATTTTCCTAGCCATGTGTCTTCTCCCTTGCCATCTATCTAGATTATTGCCCCTGTTTGTTTACACATGTTAGGTGAAGGGCCATTGTCCAGTGGCTAGAGCATCTCTTTTGCATGCAAAAGACTCCAGGTCCCATCCTCAGCATCTCCAGCTAAGAGGAAGATCTCCGTCTGAATTCCTGGAGAGTCTCGCTGCTAGTTAGCGCAGCCAGTAATGAGCTAGGTGGACCCAATGGTCTGGCTCTGTACAAAGCAGGTTCCTTTATGCCCCCATCATCCAGCCAAAGCCCTCCACAAACTCTCCATCCAGGATTTCCGCAACTCCTCTTTCGAGCTCTAATGCCTGGGTGACAACAGCCAGGAAAAGTGCAGAAGAGAAACACCTCCTCCTCTTTCAGGAAGGAGTTATTTTTGGGATCCCACTTGAAGGGAGACATGAGACTTTCTCCACCCCTTACCCAAGCCATGTAGGAGGACCTCCAACCAAGGATCTACCCCAAAACAGGTGCGTGGTCTGAGGGACTCTGCACTCGCTCCCGCCGCTCCTGGCTCAGGAAAGCACAAGCCCTTCCCAAGAACCAGCTGCTGACAAGGAACACCATGCCAGGGTCCGGCCAATGCCTCTCAATATGCATCTCTAGGCATGCTTGGGAGAGAGTGAAACCCTGTGCCTGCTAGGGTAGGCAAGACTGAGCTAGATGAAGCAATGCAAGGAAGCTTCCCATGTTCCTACGTGCTGGATTCACCCACCAGCAGGGGGAGCTGTTAGGGGAAAGAACACCACTTCCCTAGAATGCCAGGGCAACCAACCTACTGCCCGCTTGCACCCGGACATATTTAGAGCACCCCATCTATCCAGAACCATTTTCCTCCTTGGAGAGGACCAAGCCTCCAAGTGTCTTCCAGCGCTGAGCCAAACAGAAGCCAAGGAAAGCAACTTACCACCACCCCATAACTAAGGGGTACCCTTAACATGCCTTGGTCCTCCTCCACCAAAGGCACCCAGCTAAACCCTCGTGGCATCTGTGATTGTGCCCTGAGCTCAGTCGCCTACTCCACTGTTTCCCCACCCCCAGCCACAATCCCCCAGCGCCCTCATGGGTCCTCTGCCCCAACTTTCTAATACCTAGTCAATAGCCCCAGAGCTCACCCCACCTTACCCCCTGCCATCCAGCCCTGCACCCAGCGAACCAGGACGATGCCAGGTTCTTGTAAGTGGGCGGTTCCCCTGCTGAAAATAGCCCCTGGCTTCTGCCAGACTCACCACCTCGGAGTCTTCGAATCCATGGAGACAGGAGTCGTCATACATGGGGGATGAAAGAATCGTTCAGGAACCAAGACAGAGGTGGTGATGGTGGCAGCAGGGTGAAGGGGGGTGTGAAAAGGGGCAGCTCTTCCAATCGGAGGGATGCCCAGCGCTGTGCCCCCTGCCCCAAGCTGGGTTGGGGGCAGCGGATGGCACGCAATGGCAGAGCTGCTGTCTGCTCCCCGAGAAAGATTCCCCACCCTGGATGCGCTCGCTCGCTCGCTCGCTCTCTCCGCTCAGCAACGACGGCAAAAACAATAGCGCCCACCCACCAGCCCTCCCCTGGGGGCAGGCATTGAGACAGGCAAGCACGGAAGGAAGCGGGGAGGTGGGGGGCGGGCAGAGAGAAAGAGAGAGAAGTGGGGCAGGCAGCAGCTCCTGAACTGTCCGGATGCGTCTGCACCCACCTGGGGCAAGATCAAAGCGGGGTGCCAAGGGGCGCGGTGCAGATAGCAGAAGGGGAACAGCAGGATGGGGAGAGGGAAGACACGACCGGAGGGCATGTGATGTGGGTTGCGGGCAGGGGTCGTTCTCAGTGCATTCTTAGTGCCCACCAAGCTCTGCCCTTTATTCTGCCTCCAGAGACAGGGAGGGCAGAGAAGGATGCCTTGCTGGATATTCAGCCAAACAAAAGGGAATTGGCGGTTGGGGAGACACAGCCTTCCTGCTTGGGCCAGGAAAGGTCCGGGCACCGAGACCTGGCAAGCGAAGGAATGTGGGCAGTGAAAGGGTGAGAAGTCCAGGCCACCACCATGGCACGCCGTGCCCCCCCCCGGTTCCTTGAGTGCCCTGTTTTCCTAGCCCCGGCTGCCTTAACTGCCTGCAGGTCACTGGATAACCAGGACCAGCTGGGTGCCTCTCCGCGCGACCCCTGGCAATGCCACCCTCCGCCTCCCTCCAGCTTCCCTGATGCAGCGCCTCTCCCTAAGGCATCAATGGGGGTCTCTCCTCCGGCTCTACGCTCCGGATTGCCCACCCAGACGGTCTCACAGCTCCATCCCTAAAGGGCAGATGGGGACGTTCGCCTGCCCCCCCCCCGTTAACTTCGGGGCAGGTGCTGCTGCTGCTGCCCGCTGATCTGGACTCGGTCCTCCGGCTTTGCCGGAAATGGGGCCCGGTGGGGTTCCCCCTGCCATTCCCCCAAGCTGCGCCTCCAGATGCCTCTCCAAGCCCGGTGCCAGGGGTGCAGGCGCCCGCTGGACCCCCACCCCGTCCCACGGAAGTTGGGCAGCAGTCCCTGCAGAAAGAAACCCCTCCGCCCTTTGCCAGCGAGGACGCAGCACCAATCCTGACATCCCAGCCGCGAATCTAGGAAGCGCAACGGGACTGAAGGCGCGGGAGAGAGAGAGGCGAGGAGCCCGGCGAAGGGGCGGGAGAGGCGCGCAGTCGCCCGCCCCTTCTCCCTGGCGGGCTCCCCGGATCCTCCCGGAGTTGCTGTATGGCGCGCGTGGGGGTGGGGAGGGATGTCTGGGGCGCGCGAGGAAGCGGCCGCTTGGCGCGGGAGAGGCGCGCGAGACGAGCGGGGCGGGCATGGCGCCGGGGCTGCCATGGGGCGGGGGGGCGGCGGCGGCGGCGGCGGCTGCGCGCTGCCTGGTCGGTTACCTCGTTGAGCAGGAAGGTTGCGCTGGAGTCAGAAAAAGACATAGACGGCGGGGGAGGGAGCCGGCCGGCCGGCGGGCGGGCCCGGGGTGCGCTGCCCGCTGGGGAGAAGGAAGGAGGAGGGAGGGAGGCGCCCCCCGGCCCCGCTGCGCCGCTTCCGAAGCGCCTGCCCGGCTCTGGCTGCCTGCGCTCGTCCGCTCGCCCGCGCTCTCCTCCTCCCGCCGACGAGCGCGGTGCGCGCCGCCGCGCCTCCCGCCCTCCTCCCGCCGCGCTCCACGCGCCCTTCCCAGACTGGGCTCGGGGACGTGCCAGGCGCTATATAATCCGGGGGGGGGGGCGAGGATGCGCCCTGCCCAGCAAGAGCCTCTCCGATGGCGCCTTCCCCGCGCGCGCAGCTGGGGGCTTTCCGCGGGCTCCCCTCGCCTCCTCTCGCCCGGGTGGGGCGCTTCTGGGCTGAGCAAGAAGGGGGGCGCGCTGGCGTGCAGGATGCGCCTCGCTCCAGCCGTCGACGAGCTCCAGATGCTCATCCAGCAGATAGAGAGATCTCCAGCTTCCCGGGGTTTTAAGGCCATCGCTCCCGCTCCCCCGCCCGTCGATGGCATTGCAAATCCGAGAAGCTGGAGATGGGGGAAGCCGCTCACCCGCCGCCCTTCTCCCCTGCCCGCATACCACGCCTTTCCCCGGGGTGTCAGCCGGCCCTGGCACGGCAGAGGCTCATCCCTGGGGAAAAGGGAACAGTGGAAAGGGCCCCAGAGCAAGAGCAGAGTGCGTTTCCGCGGGGTGGCTGCAGATAATTGCCACATATCAGCCACCGCCGGAGAGTTCTGTCTGAAGGCCCTCCGGCCCCAGCATCTCTTGTGTTAGAACTTAAGCTTTGCCATTTCCCGCGGACGCCACCCCCGACCGTTAAAAAGCAAGGCACATCAAGGCACATTATTCTCTCTCGGCTGCTCGAGATCCTTCCCGCCCCGTTTCCAGGGATTTCAATGTGGCTGCATCTAGTCCCTTGCCCCAGCTCCTTGGGGCGCCCCCTGGTGGAGATAAGAGGATAATCGGGGTTCGACTTCCCTTGCTAGGGAATATTTGGTGCGGGTGGGTGTTTAAAACAGGATTAATAAAGCAGATCCCTATTTTAATCTCAGTTTGAGGCTTTTGTCATCAGGGAATACAGGCCTCGGCCAGGAAGACTGGTGTGCAAATGCCGGTCATAACTAAATAAAACCCCATATTTGTTTACAGTATGAAAGAACAGCTGGATTTGAGAAGGGAGGCAGAGGGAAGATCAGCTATGCCACTGGACCCTCTTACTGAGGGTGGGCGATGGGACAGAAATCACTGAAAAGCTTAGCTCAACCTAGGCAGGACCACCACTCTTAACTTGGGGTGGGAAGGAAGCCCAGGGGGTGAGGAGGGAAAGGAGGGCAAAACAGACTTTGGTGCCACCCTGGTCAGTGCAATGGAAAATTGTTCAGAATAAGCCTGTGAAAATAACATTTTAGAATGGAGCCTTTGTAGTTCCAGCCCTGCAGCGGGCACTATGGGCTGAGGGTCAATGGTTTTAGATGTTGTGGAGGGGAAGCTTCTGACTTTGCTGTGTATAGGACGAAAACTGCAGAGAGCACAGATGGAGGAGGAATATTTTAGTTACTACAGGGGTTAAAGCAGAAAATATTCAGCTGCTGGACTCTTCTGTATGGGGGGGGGGCAGTGCTCCTGCCTTGGTGGTCTTCACTCAGCAGGGGCACTATAGGGCCCAGGCCTTGAGTTCAGGGCAAGGGGGAAAGGGGGCAGCGGATGGCACAGCAGAGCTCAAACACACCCATGAATCGCTGCAGCGGCTGGTGCCATCTGACTACCTGGGAAAACCTAACTCTTCTCGACAGCTCTGGCGAGCCTCTCAACCCACATCTCCTGCATCTGACTCCACTTTCTTGTGCTGCGGTTCTGCCACCCAGGCGGCCCACTCGCCAGGCTGCTCCCTCACCCCCTTCTCACCCGCTCCTCTTTTCCCAGCCCGCCCCCCAAGAGACAAGGATGGCGCCACTTTACCTCGTTGAGCAGGAAGACACTGGAGTTGGAGAGAGACATGCAGAGTGTCTGCTTTGCTGGACTGTAGCTGACTCTGCGTGGCTCACACACCTCCTCTACCTTCCTCTCATGAACCCAGCCCAGCTCACGGGGCAGACAGGAAGCCCTGCCCACAGGGACTCTCTCGTGGGATGGAGAGCCAGCAGCCTGCAAGCTCAGGGGCACGAGCAAATTGTGCAACGGTGCACGAGCATTATAGGTCCACCCCCCCACCCCCGTGCACACCGTTGTCTTGTGGCGCTGTATGCAAGCATCCCATTGGCTCCCAAGCTCTTGTGGGACACTGTGGGTGTGGATGGGTGTGGGAGTGCGCATCACAAAGCCAGCTTTGTGAACCATCATCTTTTAGCACCAAGCACAAACAGCGCACCAGCCGCAGCAATGCATTTAAACATGACACTGGCTTCAGGCATCAGCTTGCAGCTTATCAGCTCACAGCCTCTTGTGGGTCCCAACAGGAGCAGTTCGGTGGCAGCCCATGACTATTGCGGGCCTATAGTGCAAATGGCTTTCGTGACAAAGATTCTCACAGGATGGGGGCAGTCGCTGGGCAGGATCTCAGCACCATGGGTCTCTGGGCTGTCAAAAGTGGCTACTGAGAAATGATGCCGTCTAATGATCACTTCTGGATCAATCGTTGAAACTGGTAAGTGAGCCCAATATGACTGCAGTGGAGACAGACCAGAGGAGGCATGACTGATGGGAGGAGCGCAGAGAGGAGAAACGCCATGGTGCATCTGCAGCAGCACAATTGGATGCCTTCACCTGCCCCAGCTGCAACAAAACATGTCTCTCTCGTATTGGTCTCCCTTCCAACAGTTTGACTTTACTCCCAAAGGAGCACTCCTCCACTGTCTCCCAAGATGCCAACAAGTGCCCAATAAAAGCCTAAACGAGGGCTTCCCAAACTTGGATCATCCTTAGCTAGCAGGACCAGTGGGGTCAGGGATTATGGGAACTGTAGTCCAAAAATAGCTGGAGACCCAAGTTTGGGAAACCCTGGCTTAAACCTTCCTGAGAGATCCCTCTAAATTGTAAAACTGCTATAAGATGGTACGTCATCAGCAAGCCACCCAACTCAGCAGCACCCACGTTCCCCTCACCTTGCTGGAATTTCTCTTCCAGCTGTGGCTTCTACCCATCATTGGTTCAGTTTCTAGACCATGGATGGGCTCTCAAATCACCCTCAACTGGACTGATATTTATCTTCAGTACATGTTCAGCAATTAGCATATTGGGAACCCGTCAGATAGAATGTGAGAGCAAGAGGAGGCTCCCTTGCTCTCTCCATTGCCGTTCCTTCCAGGACTCCAGGC